AAAATGTGGATAATTGGGGCGTGGCAGTATGGAAACTGATGAATGAAGTTAAATGTAGAGTTGAATATGTTGCATTACTCCCAAACAAAGGCTGTGGATGGCAGTTCTTCAGAACCCTGTTGTAACTCCTTCCACATCCACAATGGAATGTGATTTTGTGTTTTGTTAAACCATGACCTTCAACAGAGAAGGGTCTTGGTGCTCTTGGTGGTCGCATCGCCAACATGACCATCGGGGAGTTGGAAGCATTGCTGGATCTTCAGAACATTGACCCGGTCACCATGGTTCAGCTGATGAAGGACCTACGCGCTCTCTACAGAACATTTGTATGTCAGGTTTCTTATTTTTTTGAAGAATTTCTGCAAACTTCAAATTAATTCTCCCATTGTTAAACCTGTGTTGAAGTCTCTGGTCTCTGATGCTGATGGAATTCCAATGTCACAAGTTTGTGAACCATGAGTATGCCAAAAGATAATGTTTCAAGGAACTTTGAACATGCTTTTGGTTCTAATACACATTGTGCTTTGGGTGATTGGTGGATGGCTTGTTTTTTTTCCACTCAGTATACTATGATAATTTGTATATTTGCTGTCCTGTTTATGGAGAAAATTAAGATCATTCCTTACCAAATCACCTAACATTTGGAAAAAATGTTGCCAGGCTGTGATTTAGATTTCATTTGCCGTCCTGGACTTGTTCTTATAAAGCCTATAGGGCTGTTTACTTTCGAATAATTCAGTGTTCAAAATTTGAAACTGCTTTTGATGGGATATAGGAAGTTTTGAAACTTGCCAACATGGACTTAAATCCCTCAAAGGATGGGAATGGTGAGCTGCCATTGAGCCCCAAAAATTGACAAAAAGTGGCCATGTTGTAGTGCAGTATATATTTACTATGCATAGTTGCACTTAATATGTTTTAATTGAAGTTTACAGACTAATTCGGTATAGGATTACCTTTTAGGGGTAGGTAACCTGTTCTGGTTCATGAAGATCAGTACAGTAGCTCTCTCAAAAACACAAGGCGAATGTACGTGTAGTACCTAATGGAGTGGTATTTTGCCGTGATATACCAAGAAATTATTAATAGAGCAAATTTAAAAACAAAGTTTTTGTTTTGTCATTTTAATGAATATTCGAACGAGTAAAAGCTGTTCAAATATTTAGCTGATCTTGAATTCTTGATATTTTGAACTGCCCCCAAAGCTTTTAACTCAGTAGGTCATGAATTTTTCCCACACTTTAGCTCCCAATTGCAAAATTGCCAAATTTTCTTAAGGCTTTAAGATACGATTTTGTACAATGTTTTATTTCACTGAGCAGATGGAAGAGGCCATCAACGTTCTCATAAATGGCAAGGCAGGGAACAACTTTGATCAGTTTGACATTGTCCTCAGTGGAACCATTCCCTTCCCCAAGAGACATGCCACTTTTTTTGAATTTGATTGGGGATATCCGATTGGTGGATTCGTCACTTTATCTTTCAGTAAGTAGCATTTTGTTTTCTTTAGCAGTAGCTCAGTTTCCAGCGTTGAGATAGACATTTATTCATGAGCTGCACTTGTGCTCAACTGTTTGTCATGTTACTATAATGTGATGGCCTCACGTTCCATGGCCTTTGTCTTTAGGCAAATAAAGTAATGGCCACATCAGGCATATAAAGTAATGGCCACATCAGTCATGCTTGCAAAACTATGGTCAGGAATAAATATGTACAGAGTGATGTTGGGCAACATGTATAGCTGCATTTGAAACACTTAAATTGAGCAGTAGTTACTGAACCTTAATGTTACACATAATGTTATGTGCGTTCTCTTAAAATGTGTTAACTTCAAGGGAGGGGAAAATGCATCCCAGCAGATTCTCATGGAGAGGCTGTGTACCACACCAGTGGCTCTTTGTGTCTATAAGAACACCTATAAGAAAACCTATGAAGGAGCAGCAGTCCTGATGATCCTGAGGCAGTAATTCATTTGCAGATGTTTGTCGCCCTATGTAACATAAGTGTTTTCCTAATGAACAGTGTACAGAACAATGTCAAAATGACCCAGGACTGACATGGCTACAGAAAGACCATGTGTGGACACACTTAACTCTAAGTTGAAAGCTGTGCCATCTCTTTTCTTTGGGCATAATTATTGGTCTCCATGTATTGTGTCAACCGCAGCCACGTTTGTACTGGACAAGAAATTGCAAAAAGTTAACATTCTATTGTGTGGTTAGTCTACCATTCATCTTCATGTGATGTTGTATCAGCAGGTAGCTTTCAAACCTGACATAGTATGTGATTTAAACAAACGATGGAATACATGATTTCAACAAGGTGGCAACACCATGTTGGTTCTCCTATACTCAATCATTTTCATACCAGCTTCCAAAGTTTTCCCATTTTGCAGCATGGTGAACAAACTGGTAAACACATGTATACCGTTGTTGAATTGAAACAGGGATAAAACAGGTTTTTCCTTATTGCAAACATGTTTTCTAAAAACATGTTTATTCCACCAGAAACTATACTTTTCAAATCAACTTCCCTGTCTTCAGAGGGAACTCAAAATAGAATCTGTTGTTTGAATTAATAAAAAGCATGTTAGCATTGGGACTGGTGGTACAGTATGTATTAATTGTTTTCTTTACATGTTTCAGCCATTTCATCAGGAGGTTTCTTTGATATGGAGATACCAGTATACATTGGTGTGATTTCCATGAAAGCAAAGGTATGATTGCAGGAAAGCTAAAACAAGATTTACTTTCAATCTTTTACTACAACTGTGTTAAGCCAGACCTCTGGAGGAAAACTTGAAGCTAATGACATGCACACACTTCAGACACATCAAATATATGTCAAGTCACTGAGTTTTAAAAGTGAATGTCAGTCATGCAACTGGAAGGAGAAAGCATGTCTTACAGGCCAGAGCTTGAATTGTGAGTGGCATGTCATCTCATTAGCGGGACAAACAGATCTTCCACTACAAATTTGTTTCAATTTCGCTCATTGTAAAATGTTTATCGACTCGTGCAACCCAAAACTGTATATTCTATTTCAGTGCCTGTATGTTAGTAAATTCTACTTATACTCAAACTCAAAAAGAAGGAAAGCGGGCAAACCATTTTGAGTGTGTGTGTGTATGCCACAGCTTCGATATGGATTTATTCACAAACTCTACCGGAATACCAACATACGTATATTGGGCAAACCGGTACACGAGGCAGCACCTGCGGCCACCTCGCATAAAACCATGCACATTGAGCTGAACCCTGTACAAACGTGATACCCATGACCACAAGAACTCCCCAAGGCATAAGTTCCAAGTAAATGCCAAAACTTAAGGGCGTTAGTCAAGAAGGTCAATGATACCAACGATCACTGAGTCGAGAACCTCCAAAAAGGCTCTCAATTTATTTAATACCAGGCACAATATGATCATTAGGTACCATCAACCTAAAGAATGCAAGAGTTTAATATTTACTAATGCTAGTTTTTCATGCATAACATAAAGGACGAAACTTTTACGTAACCCAGTGCTTGTTTTAAGAACTGTAATAAGTCAGAAACTTAAAGAATCGTGCAATCTAAATTTCCCACCGCTGGAACATGCAGCCGGGTGTAGCCCGTGTGGAACGTCACAGGCTATTAATAAGATACACACGTGTACTGGTATTAATAAATTGAACTATGATGTTCAACTCCCCATTGTCATGCCGTGTGGCACATCACGGTGCTTTAGACAATTTAACTTATAAAGCTCAAGATTTAATTGATGTATAGACCAGGTAGCTTATCATTTTTTAACAAACAAATGGTGTTCCATTCTTATTACGTATAAAAAAACAAACAAACTGCCAAGCCATAAATGAAACATAAGGCAGAAACGAAAAAACCCAGCCATAGGGACCGGGAGGCCTGTATGGCGGAGGAGGTGGGTAAGGTGAAATCCACGTGGTTTGATCGCTCAAAGCTGCGATGAAAGTGGCTGGCGTAGCATGAGCAACGCATGCTGCTGATCAGCTCACTTGCATTGACCTAATAAACCTGTGGAGCTTAATGGCCAATGAATTTGGCAGGCTGCCCCCTGCAATGATTGGAAATCTCTGGATCTTTGTTCTGGCTCATTGCTCCACCCCATTTTGCCTAAATGCTACTATTACACGACAGGTGCCCTTCGAACTTCAACACACAATCTACACTCGGCACAAACATGCTTTCTTCTTCAAGAGTATAATGAATTTTATCGCTAAGGTCGATAAAATGTCATAATTTTAGACCTAGAAACCCAAGTAGGAATAATGTAGTCCTGGACAGGGCTGCAGGGGTAGTGTGCATCCTTTTACTTGAATTATCGTCCACTACCATGTTAGAGGTATGGTGCAGTGTTAATTGGAGAAATGTGTTGATTTACCTTTGTAGGGTGGAATAACACCAATGGTTGGAGCAAATGTAAAAGGTGGTGTGTCTGTGTGTGTGACTTTTATCCTGTGTGGCGAGTTGCAACTCTCTGCTGATGTGCTCCGCACAAGCTTTCCCACTGTCGCTGAGACACTGTTCTCAAAGTTCCCGCTGGATGTCGGGTGAGTATAAAGTGGATTAATTGCAGAAATGTGCAGTATGAATGGTATATTGTGTTGCCATATTGTGGCAGCATTCAGCCCATGTCTTCATTACCACTGGTTCAATATATTTGTTGATGTACCCTAATGAGGGGCAGTCTTCGCTGGAACTATACTTTTATCTCATCACACTGACAACATTTCTGCTTGTAAACCTCAGTTCCCTCTATGTAGTTCCAGTCAAATATTGTCTGCTGCGCTCAACCTACCCAAACAGTCGCTATATGCAAATTTCCTTTGCATTTGATTCTGTTTGCTAAAAACCTAATCAAGCGCAGTGCGCCCTCTAGGCCCATGATGCATGGCGGCACTGCTGCCTTATCGGTCCTTCTCCTTAGCATGATTCTAATCTGTCATGTCAATTTTGGCATCTTCCAGTTTTTCAAGTTTCCATTTTGCTACCATGTTCTTGTGTTACTTTGATCAACCCTAATGTATTCTAACATATGTACATTCAATATTTTGATACATTTTCTTTTTTGAAGTGTGCATTTCCTTTTTTTGTGGTATTTTCTCTTCTCTCGTGAGAGTGCATCTCACAGGCTTACAAGTTGACTCTACTTTGCTATATTACCAAGTGATATACAACTGGGATCATTGGGGCTCTGCAAGACGATGCAAGCGATTCGATTCTGCAGCCCCACTCTCCCCACGTATGTCTGCAGAAGATCGAGTGGCATTCCACGCCAAACTTGTGATTCTGCACCAATTCCTGGTGGCAGTACCATCCTCTGTCCAGTTCTGGGTCAGCCCACGCCACGCTTCAAGTGTCTGAGCTGTAGTGCGTGCAAAATCCAACCACTCACTTCCCAACTTTATAATTACCACTGAAGCATTACAGTCAATGACCGTACAGAGTGGCGCTACACTCATCAGGGTGAATTTTCACACGCAAGCTGGGTTTGGGTGCACCACCATCATGCATCCCAGTCCAAGCATTCCTACTGAACAATGCTGTCCAGCAGTCTCAACCAGTGCCTACTGTGGTCTACACCAACCCAATGGTATGGCTCACAAGGCCACATGCTGGGACAGCCACATGCCTCCCACACTGGCTGTGTTGACTGCCTCAACCCAGGTGCTGCCGTCTTCAGATATCTTTTCAACAGGTGCACCCATGCATGATAGAGATGCTACTCCCCATAGGGCCAACACCCTGTTGTTATGTGGGCACAGCCCCACCCACATCCTGGGCAGCAGAACTGCCGTAAGTCACAACCCTTTCCATTCTTGTGGCATGACTCACAAGGCTTGCGGTGGGACTATACCCCAGGCCGAACACGCGTCAGTCCCATTGAGTGCCCCACGCTTTGAATCAACGTCCTCAGTCACTCTTCATCAGAGGCATCCAGGTGAGGGTAGACACTGCATGATACTGGGCTGCCCCCTGCCTTACCCGGTGCAGCCACGTTGGACGCACTAACAGCCATGCGGGCACAATGCAGACCACAATACTGGTAGCTGGGCTGCTTCACCGCTGAGGCCTTTGTACACAGTATGTTGCTCCGTTGTCTACCTTCTACCTCTACACCTGTACCCCGAACCAACCATTCTTCGGGGCATCCAGGTGTGCAGCAGACATTGCATGTACACTCTACATGTACATGTACTCTCTTATCTCCTGGAGCGGCCTCACACAGAGGCTGGGTCACACATACTCGGCACAGGCTGCGGCTCAAGCAACAACTCTTATCATTAGGCTACACATCAGGCTTCTGACTGGCGCCTGAGATCTCTGTGCCAGGAGTGCCTAGTCATAAGAGAAGAGAATTAGAGCAAACTAGCTGGGTCAACTTTCCATCATTCTCTGGACTAACCCAGTGAGTATGACTTTAGACTATGTACGAGCAGCCTACCGGGTGCAACCTTTCCACCACTGGTACGCTGTTCACTGAGGCCTGTGGGAGATGATTCCATGCCATGCCTGCGGACCCCTTATGACTGCCACATGCCTTATCCCACCAATGGCTGAGACTTCGTCATCAGGGCACCCAGGTGTGAACTAGACCAAAGCGATACTTCATTGGGCAGACTCCCCCTCCATTTCCGGCTCTGCCCTGGTGATTATGACATTCAAATTTGGACCCACTATTGCATTTCTCCAGTCTGCATCCACGCCTCGGACATCTGAATTCACTGAACCTTACACCGTCATGGATTTCACTTGCTCCTTGGCATTCCGTAATCCTGCACTTTCCCAAGGGGTTCTACATGTAAGTTGGTGCATCTTTTACCACTTTGGCACATCATGTGTGATCTTCATAGATTGCATGGCCTCACCATGTCCTGCTCACTATCTGGATACAAGTGCTTCTGATGTGGGCATTTCCAATGTTGTGACTTTTACAAGGTCCTACTATGGGCCCCTAATTTTGTCACGAGTGTGCCACTGGTTTACCTCTTCTGACTGCACCCTGAGTGATCAAAACAAAGAGGTGTGCTCAGCAAGATTATGTCCGATGTACAATTTAAAACTTGTGTTCATTAAGTTAAAAAATAAATTTGAATATTGGAGTGCTTTTTTATGTCAGCTGTAGTTCCTCACCTGAACGGGAAATACTAACACTTTGCCCCCTGTCAGGCTGTGCTATTATGAGTGTAACCCTGTGTTCACCCAAAATGGCAGGAACCGGTTTAAATAACCAACTCCTTTTTGGGAAAATAAGATCAACTGTCAACATCAGTTATACTGTACACAGTTGAGACTTCGTTTATTGCAACCATATTATAGTCACCGGTGACTGTATAATCAAAGTGGGAAAAACCATATGTATGTGTCAGTATCTGACTACAGCACAAACCCAGATATATCGCTCTAATGTTCATCAATGATAATTAAAGTTCTCAGTAGATATGCAGCTGGCAATGTCAATGGACCGATGTTGTGAGGTGGTGTTCCGGCGAGAACTCAGTTCGACATTTTCTCTGGAAAAGAGTTCAAAGGATTGTACAGGTACTTGCAAATTTGGTGTCACAAGATGGCTGGCACTTGATGTCACAGGCTGGCTGGCTGGCACACTTGGTGTCAGAAGGTGGCTAGCATGTTTGGTGCTGCATAATGGCTGGTGTTTAGGTGATACTGGACGATAACGGGGCTGTGGACCAGGTACTCCTCAACAATCCCAGACCAGGTGATGACTGGCATACAAGTGTTGAGATGCCGCGGGAGCGGGAAGGGCAATCACCAAAGTCCCCTTCTGGCTACTCCAAGTAGACAACTTGAGGCCTGATGTCTCTGTATCTAAACGAGCCAACATTCAATCTTCGCAAACAGCAGCTTGGTGAAAGTCCCACTTGCAGGAATTTTGACCTCCAAACTTTAGAGCTACAATGTACTAACTTCAATTTTCTGCCTTTTGCTCTTAAATACTTGACTAGGAGCGGAGTGCTTCACTGTTCGCTGACAAGATGTGGAAATGGCACATGGCCAGCAATTTTGGGCACATATAGCCCACAACCTTCTTCTAGACTCCCAGACCAATTTGCCCTCCCATTGGACAGTCTTGTTTCCACCACAAGGGGTAATGCCCTGATTGGGCATCCTGGAGGAGGGAAATTATGGGATGGAGGGTGGAAGGGGTGTAAGGCAATCCACTCGCTTAATCCCTCTCACAAAGTAATTTCTAACCTCCGACCTTCATGAAGTCTGGGTTACATGAGTCTTAATTTCTCTCAGATGCTTAAGTTTTGACCCTCAATTTTCATTCCTTCGGATGCATGCAGCCTCTTTCATCCCTCATAAAGGCAATAAAATGGCCTAAGTCCTCCAACACAGGGATGTCAATGGCCACTCCAGACATACACTGTAGGACAAAGCTCATTTCAGTTCTCCAGAAATTTATGCTTCCAGCATCATTTGCATGTACTGGAGTTGTGGACTGTCCCTAAGTGCAACTTACATCAAACATAGCTAGTCTTCTGGCAATAACTCCTTGCTCAATAAAGATGAATTAAAACCCTCTTCATCAAGGCTACTTGGAGTTTTCTTCATTTGTGTCCAATCTATTTAATCTCTTATCGGAGTACCTTTCTTTTATTGCTTGAGAGAAATCTTTCCAGCCCCACTGTGGTCTTACTTGGGGTCCCTGGATGAAGAAAAAAGTTACCTCTGTTTCTGAATAATTCATGAGGTTTTATTGTCTATCCACATCTACCCATGGAACTATTGTTCAGGAATGGGTATGGTGAACTTCTTGTGTTATGGTGTTGATTTAATTCCAGCTATCCCTATATGGGAGAAATGTTTCGCTAACTAACCAGTGGTCACAAAGGATTGTCGTCCTCCTTCCCTTGTCAACTCTATACACTGATCAAATTCTGCTCTGTCCTCTCCTCAATCCTCACAGGCAGCGCTGAGAGATTCTGACCAAAAGGAAACGTCGACATTACCTTCATTCCTTTGTGTCTGAAGCTAAGGGCTACATCACTTCTCAGGTTGCCTCAGTGCCTGAATTTGTAGGTACAGTAGTGAGGTTCCAGCAAACATCCGCCCAGTCAGATGGATACCTGTTTCTGCTTGTTCAGCCACCCTCTCGAATTCATGTCTGCCCCTTTGTTTGACCCAACTCATTATTGAACTCCAATCTTTGTTGATAATTATTACATATACGTATACTCAACCTCTGTCAGATTCATCTCAGGCTTCATTCATGGATCTAAATTGTTTTACTTCCCATTCCAGTCCACCCACAGGATTTCAAGTTCCTCTACTTCATTGGGTGTTAGAGGAACTCTTGAGTTTCGACCCTGTTGCTCTCTCAGTGTCCTAGGGGTCCTCACTCTTTCACTGCCTACTCCCATTAGCTAGCCATTCCCACAACTGAACACCTTGGTGACTGGTTCTTGGTTGGTGGATGTACAGATAAGGCTGGAGCTTTCTTTAATGTCACATGTTAAGCTTGCCAGCCATTCTGGATTCTTAATTTTGAGATTCCTGTCCTTATACATTTCTCCAATCAAACTAAATTTGGCTCTCGTCCTTCGCCAGGCCTTTATCACACCAGCACATCTTTGGCCCAAGGGTGAACCCTGTAAACTTGGTACCTCTTTGCCATCTTTTTGTTAGATCCCACCTACTAACGTTCTCCTGACTCAACTGTCTTCCTTCAATTTGTGTTGGACTGTCTTCATCCAGCCACACCTTTGTCGGCAGTTGAAACGGAGGATGGGCCCTCAACTACTGGTTTCTACTGGCACTTCCTGAATTTCATGAAATTCTCCTGTGCCGGAACATTCAAATTTCAGAGACAGGAGTACTTTGGTTATTTCATTGTCACTTCGACAGATAAATCACCACTGAGGTACACTCTCACTACACCTTGTCCTCCTGACAATACAGATGTTCCCATGAGCCTCAGACTTTGGGATTAACCTGAAGGTACCCATGGCCATATCTCGAAGCCAACGACTCCTTTACAGATGTCTGCTCTCAGAGAGAGATTCACCCAGTAGAGCAAACTCTACATCACAATGTGACTGAGCCAGTTTTTGAAGTACTCGGCTGTCTGCCCTCCCAACCTTGACATGGAATGTCTAGTTGCTATTGTTCTACACCAGACTCCCTCACCTACAGGTCTTGGTCACAGACAATCCCTTTTTCAGCAGGGTAGGGTTGCTCATCTACCCGCCCCTCTCTGTTACCCCTACTCCCAACAATTCTGTCAGAATTTGGCAGGAAATTAGGGCATCTTCTATTCATGTCAGTCGGGCCTTCCAAACTCTGAGGCCTCATTCACCCAGATTCCTACTGGTAGTATACACAGGCCCATAGGCTGGGGTTCAAACGAGCCCCCCACCTACTTCCAGGTTCCGCTCGTCGTTAGTGTTTTTTTTTTACAAATATATATTTTAATGTACCGTAGTTTTCGGAATATACGCCGCTGATATACATTGATTCTTATGCTGAAAATGTCCCTGTGACATATGGCAACATTTATATGGTACCACATAGTGGAAATGAAGGAAACCAGTGTAGAGAGACTAAATAGACTTGTAAATGTACCGTAAGTACCGTTCAAACCTCAAAAATCATATGGTGCGTCTGGTCCTTTATGTCTTTTATGTGTGGACATGTTTGGTTATTTGATAACTGTTAAAAAACCTGCTGCATGGCCCACCCAGCAAGGACACTAATCCAGCCTGCCAAAATTGGTAATAATTTTGAGGACTTTAGAAAGTTTAGGTTTAATGACAACACCCGTTCATGCGCTGCTTCACACCGTACCCAAAAGTGGCGCGGACCCTATCCTTGGACACTTTGAATTTTCACTTCTAACGTTTGTGTATGGAGCAATATTTTACTTCCAATCTCACAAAAGGTGAAATTTAACTCCAAATATTCTGATTCATAACTGTTGATTTCACATTTCAGAGGTGCAAAATGAACGCTTTTAAATGCACCCCAAAATGTTTTTTTTTATTTTATAATTTTCAGTTAGGTGAGTGTAGGTAATAATGATTCACTAGAATTTATCATTTTTATAAAACTTCTGAAATATGTTGTGGGATTTTCTGAAATTAAAAAAAAAGTCATACCATTCGCTCGTCACCCAGCGCCTGATTCAAGGGTGCTGGGTGATGAGTAAATCCATACCAGGCCAATTTACGGCAAGCCGTGAATATTGAAAACTTAAGTAAACAAGTGTTACATGCATCCATAAGTTTGCAACTAACATGCAACTTGTTCCATAAGCTCATTATGAGAGGCCTTTGCATAAAAACATGTGCTCACAGTGCCAAAAGTTCCACTTTGGGTTTGATGAACCTTCCAGTCTCTGGTCAGGTAACAGACCTTATACATTTACACTAGGAATAAACAGTTCTCTATTTTTCATGGCTTGACAAACAGTGTGGGGCTCCATGCAGTAACCATTCAGTGTTTCCTTCCTAATGGTTCATGTCCTTGAGCTCTTCCAAGGTCCTCCTCCAAGTCCTTTGTAGAGGCTTCTGATGATATCCTCCACACATACTCTTTGAGTGATAATACCACGGCGTCCTTTTCATTCACATCATCATAGGCTACCATTCAGAGCCCTGCTCATTCCCTTCTCTTTGACAAGAAATCATAGTCTTCAATGTCATAGAGTACTTTTGTTCTCCTTGTGACAAGAATTGCTGTCCTGCCGTATTCTTCGTAGTTATATTGGGCCAGGAATCAAAGCTGACTTGGAGAGAAAATATGCCTGATCTCTTCTGTGATTACCCTTATAAAGGAATGTGAGAACTTCACTTTTGTTAGTTGCGGTACCTTGGACACTGTTCCAACTGACTTATCTTCGCAGATGACACACCAGCCACCCTATCGCAATACATGATGCTAGGTTGATATACACTGTACATGTACTCTGTCAACATCCCTCGGCAGTGTCTATCAGAAGTTATCTGCATAGTAATATGCTAGACAAACCTACGATCATTTACCTGATGCTACCTTAATATGGTTGTCCCAATGAGTTCTTTTGTGGCATGTCTATAATGGCCTCTTCACCGAGACCGCGGGGACCCCGTACCCCACAAACTACCTCCGGCTCTACACCATATTGTGTCCACCTGTCATAGTCTCACACATTTTCAGTGCGTCCTCGCCTGTGTAATTCCTCTGGGGTACGGTGTTACTCTACATATTTAGCGACTTTGGGTAGGTTTAGTGCAGTGGGCTTCCCCCCCCCTGCTTACATCAGTGTGGGAAGAGTCTGCTAATGAATACCTACGTGTACCCAAACAGTCATGGCCCTCCTGTCCTCCTCACTCTGGCCCAGACCTTACACTCCAAAAAAGAAGGATGAACGTAACGGTGGCTCCATTATGCATTATGGGCCTAAAGGGTGCACTACAGTTGATCACATTTTTAGCGAATAGAATCATGAAAAGGAAATTGCATAAGCATATTTAGCGACTATTTGGGTAGGTATTTATAAGGAATTGGCCTGATATTCAGAGTTTTTTGTTCAAGTGCAAAATGAACTCTTTGAACATACCCCCTGAATAAGAAAATAATTTTGTTTCAAACTTGTACAGTTGAGTGGGAGGTAATAATGATTTCCTAAAATTTATCAACTTTTTAGAAATTCTGAAATGTTACCGTGGGGTTTTCTGAAATTTAATACTCAAGTGTTCCATGTCTGCTGAAGTTGTGTCATCTTGGAATTTCATACAAAATTTCATGACACTGGAATTGTTCCCAAAAGTTCAACGGCATGCATTATGTAGGTAATAGTACCAATAGTTAAATGAATGAATTTGAAAGTTTCAACAAAGAAGTTTGGCAACACTGCATGAAGGAAGTCAAAGTAAGTAACATCAAAGTGCACCAGGCTGGGGGACTCCACTATACACAGAAAGTGATCCCCAGAACAAACAGAAGAAAATGTCTGGGCACAAAGATGGCAAAATTAAATCACTTATTTAAATCATTGCCTTTTTTCTCTTGAATTAGCAACAACTGTTTCCATTTTTCAAATGGTCCCAGTTTTGTCACATCTTATATGGCAAATTCCATATCACAGGCATTACAAATTTCGGTTATTAAAAGTGATACTAAAACCAATATAAACAAACATTTTTTTCAGTACCTGAGTAGAAATTGATTCATGACCCTTAAAAATTATCATGTATCTGGACCCCCAACAAATTTAATGCATTATAACATGAACGAAATGATCTTAAATCCATACTCGTGTCAAGGGTAAAAATGAAAAGTGAGCCCCAGTAGTATTTATCCAGCTTCTGGGTCACTCCATAATTCCACATTTGTTACCATTTTTTTGCATTTTGTAATTGGAATGTTCAACAAGTGGTTATTAAACATGGAAGGCTCTTTTGGTGGGAACTGCACTTGCAATTGGTTGGCTCACAAACGACTATGAAATGCACTTGTCAGGGTCGCATCGCTACCAACAAAATGAACACTCTGTGCTCTAATGCATTACAGAATGTAGTGCATTAGGAATGACTGCATGTGGCTGCGGCGCTGGGTTGTACTTGAAACGCATCCTTCACCTGTTGTGTGCCGCTCTAAGTATTAATTTTAATATAATTTTATTAAAAAATGTTTATTTTAAATAATTTACATGTCTACTTTATTGTTTTATAAAATTTACGTGTCTGGTATATGTTCATTTTAATTATTTAATTTTAATTATGAATTTGTAAGCTGTATATGGATGTATCTTTATGAATTTTTAATAACTTTTTAGCACGCAAAGACAAAGTGCATTTCACAATGCTAACAATAAACAATATCTATCTAATCAAGTCCAATCAAGGTTGGGGCTTGGGCTGGATGGTATTGGCTTGTTTTATCAAGGCAATAAAGTGTGTTGGGGCAGTTTTAAACTAGTATGTCTAAAACTGGATAGGAGCCAGACCATGACTATAGACTGAGCCAAACCATTGTCTTTCTGAGGAAACTCTTTTCATCCTTGACACTTTTAGGTTAAAGATGGACATAGAAATGATTCCCCTGAGAATTCGTCTGCGAGCTTTGGTTACTCTGAAAATTCCATTCTTTGGGAAGACGGTTCTTTTCAAGGCCAACTTATATCGCTGGGAAGCTCCTGCAGTTCACCAAAACATCTTTGACTTCCACTCCCAGGAGCCTGACACATCTCCCCCAGAGATTGAACAGTACTCAACACCGCCGGTAAAACCTTGAAATTTGTCTGATTGGCATTTTGTCTTGGACTGTTCTTTATACTACATGTACGTGTAACTCAAAACATCTTTTTTCATGTTGTGTTCCTGATTGTACATCAACATTTATGTGACCAGCAATAGAAAGTCACAGCATTCCAAGGTCATTTCAAAACTGTGGTTGTTTATATTTGTTCTGAACGTGGCAATTCAATGTTGAATTGTTTCCATTTTAAATTTAACTTCACCAACAATCTAGAAGATATAATTTATTGTACAAACAGTAATAACAGAATCAGCATTATTGATTTTTTTTTCTCATTAGAAAAAATGCATGCCATGAGTTTGAGTGGGATATAGATACAACTTGTTATCGGTGCTGTCAATGGGTTCAGAATGGAAATGTGAAAACTGCTTTTCAGCTGAGGAGAACTGACCACTGTATCCTCCACTATTTGACCACTGCCATAAGACAAAGCTTTGTGTGTCAGTGTTATGCACATTTACAACCTGTCAATCCTCATCATCTTTTTGTCTGATACAATTTGATTTTATTACCACATTGCTCAATTTAATAGCTACATTCTAGTACATTTGTGCATGTTTGAATGCTTGTGTTGTTCAAAAGGCACCCAGTGGTTTGAGAGACTTGTACATTGCTTTGTTGGATTTTCATTTTGGTTGTCTGAAGGATGGAATCCCAACTAGAGTAGTGGGGAGGAAAGCTTGCAGTGTTGAACAGGTTCCAGGATTAGACTATACATCACCAGCCTTCCAGCTTGAGGTGGCAGCATTTGACGACAAGAGCCTGGTTACGTTTCACTACCAGGTTGGGACAGCACCTGGAGCTGGTGATGTGGTCTCCAAGACGGAGTTTGGCGGACCGTCGGCCATCATTACGCAGGTAAGGAATTGACTTGGCTGAAGAAAGATCTGAAACTTGGATTAATTGATCAAGAACTGCTAGAGAGCTATTTTCAGGGCTATATTAGAAGTCAGAATTCAAAATTAGTTTACAAATTTTAATTGCATTTGTTTTCAGAGTTACGAAGAATTTTTTTATTTTTTATTTTTCAGTAACAGTGCCAGTACAAGGCATTATCACTGTAAGATAGGGTGAAGAAATGTTGGAGCTGCAGACAATGAGAATAGGTTATAAACTAGAAAAATCAATTAATTTCAGTAACAATAAAGTGCAAAGATGAAACAATTTGAGTGAATTGGTGTGCAGCGGTGCAAGGCTGTTATTTTAAAAAGCTTTAGATACTTGAAAAGTTGTGATTTCTGTTTTCACGCTGAAAATAATGATAAAAGCAAAGGAAAAGTACACAAAGACAACAAACTCCCTGTTTGCATTTTTCCGTTGTGCAGTGTTTCCCTGTGGTTTGTGGACTTGGAAAGATGAGGAAAAACTCAAGATTTGGGGTTTCATTGTTTGAAAGCCGGGGAATGGTGAAATTTTCAAATATTCCAAATGGTTTTCACAAACAATGTTATCCCCTTTGACAAAGGACATATTATTGTTTTCACAGACTCTCCTTAGTGGGCATCCTCTCTACTTCACTGTTTATGCAATGAACAATGGGGGAGGTGTCTCCATGGCAACCTGCAGCCTTCCAACCTTTGACATCACCCTCCCGACAGGCCGTATCACACCAGACTTCACCTCAACCAGCCACCCCCATGTACTCCGCGCCTCAGCCGTGGTGTACGATGACTCTGTCATCTTGATGCAAAAGGAAGGCGTCGGGTTTGGTTCTGAAATCTGGGGAGATCAAATCGTGCCGTGGCATTCCATTAACATCACAAAGAGGCATCATCAAGAAGTTTCGTGTAAGCTGGTTTGATTCACTTTCATCGGGTATCCAAGTTACTTCAACAAAAGTAACTGTAACAAAATCACTTCACTGTGCCCTGCAGGTCTGCAGATGTGGGGTTTCTGATTGACATTGAAATCTAGGTAGAAATCAGATGTGCAAAGTTCTTTTTTTAATAGAAGATACCATGGCACAACAGTTGTATAAATTGGACAGAAGAAATGATAATATTTTAGCCACTACTTCTCCAAAGCAACCATACAATCTTTGAACCATTTGTTACAGTAATATTCTTACAACAGAAACTATTTTCACTATGAGAATTGAAAAGAAATGAGAGAAAACTGTCCCTTTTGTTTGATTACAAATATACCGAAGAGTCAAAATATCAAGTAATATTCTATAACAATTACTCGATTTAAACGCAAGTTACATCACATGAATTTAGATGTGCAAAACTGTTTCTTAAAATAAGTTCAGTGCACATTTTTCTAATTTCACAGACTTTAGCACTCATCCATTTGACAGAATTCTTATCAGGTGCGTTAGTTAGTACATCAATCCCAGAGGGTGTCCGATAATAATCGTCTACAGTGACGTTGTCAGGTGTCATATGACATGAAAATAAAGGTGCAGACATCAATTCTTTATATCTTCTAAAGTACATGTCTAATTGATTTGAAACGTTCACATACATGTAACTTTTAATGTGATACCGATTATGTCAAATTTCAACCGATTTATTTCACAGCTCATAATCATAAACAATTAAACAACTTGAAATCCAGAACAGGTTTGTGGTTGTTGCTGTAACAACCGCTACCTCTAGTTTTAGTTTTTTTCTTTTCTGGGGGCGGGGGCAACCAAAAAGTGAAATTAATTTTTTGCACACCATACTGATAAAATTTGCCTCTCAACACATCCTTTTGACAGCTGAGTTGGTTTACCGCAAACTGGAAACATTTTTCATGATGGCCCATGGACTTTTTTCTCAACTTTAAACTAATACATGTACTATACTTGTTGTACAGCCAATGACTTCCAATATTTCACCGCTGCCAAGGAAGGCAGGCTGATTTCCAAACCAATATCAACCATCATCCACCGCAACCCCAACTTATGTGCACGGGACTGCCTAGCCCTCCCAGAGACCAAATGCCTGAGTATCAACTACAACTATGGGGACTTCACCTGTGAACTGTTGGAGGAGATTGAGGGTCACGGGGTTGAAGTTCACAAGGTACAAAAGAAAATATCACCTCCTTTGTATTGTGTTATAAAATGCCTGTGGCTATTAGGAAATAGGTTGTGGACACTCGTAGCAGTAGTCCCTCAGGGCATATGGACATGACTATATATGTGACCAATTGTTTTCTGCTTTCAACCTACCCCAAACAGTCGCTAAATGTGCAAATTTCTTTGCATCTGATTAAATTCGCTAAAACTTCTGATCAACCGTGATGCGCCCTCTAGTCCCATGATGCATAGCGAGGTGGCCGCCATGTTTGTCCTTCTTTTCCTTTGCGTGATTCTAATCGGACGTGTCTTTTTGACATTTTCGAGTTTATCAAGTTTCCATTTTGCTTCCACACCTTTGTGATATTCTGATCAAACTGATAAACGTACATTCTATATTTCTAAGTTAACGTGTTTTTTCTTGTTTTGGTGGTATATTTTCTCTTCTCATGTGTGTGCATTTTATAAATTGTTGATTCTATGCTATTATACTCCCAAGTGATGCATAGAGTCAACGGGGCGACCCTGGGACTGTTGGGGTTTGCGAGGAAGAGTGAGCATTTCGAATTCCCTAACCCCACATTCCCCTATAGACCGACAGGAGTCGGTCTGTGGAGAATGGAGTGGAATCATGCTAATCCATGCCATGCCATATTAGTTCACACCATGCTTCAGGGGTCTGAGCTGCCGTGTATGTGACATCCGAAGGCTCAGTTTCCCATTGTAACACCAAAGCATGACAGTCAACAATAGTGCAGAGTGGCACTGGGCACGGGGTTGAAATTTCCCCTGCTAGCTAGGTCTGGATGCAGCATTTCTGCATCCAAGTTCCCAAGCATTCTGAACAGGTGTTGCCGGCCGACAACAAGCTCTTGTCAGCACCTACCATGGGCAACACCTGAGATCGGCATGGCTCACAAGACTACGCGCCAGAGCGGCCCTACGCCACTAGCGCTATCTACACTGGCCGCTTTGCCCTGGTGCAATTGTCTTCAAATGCCCTTTTAACCAGGGCACCCAGCCATGACAAAGACACTGACTCTCCACGGAACAACGCAACGCTGCTCTCCGGAGCGGTACCTACAGAGACAATACCAGGCCTTACAGGCTCACCACCACCTGCACTCGGGACAACAGAGCCCACCTGCCTCCTGTGCTGTCGGGGTTTTCGATCTCCATACGTCACCCCATCTTCCAGCTACCTTCTGGGTCTTTATGGGAAGACTGCTCCTACCTCTGCAGTTCACCAGCCATCTTCTGCTGTATCCTTACTGCAGTCTGGGTAAGCCTCTGATGTCCCCCCTTTGAGCCTCACAGCAACGCATCGTTGATCAACCTATCAGAGAAACTGGCATTCCCACTAGCAGTTACTACCTTACGGAGTGGCAGTGAGCTAAAGGTATTGTCCATCACGGATGGCCACATTCGATGGAAACCCCATGGTGTTCGTCTCATCCCAACGCTTGGGTTTCTTACCAAGAACCAGTCAGTTTCCTTCCATCCTCCAAACATTTTTTGTACCAGACATTACCAAACACACTGGGACTCCTGATCACAAACCATGGTGCCCAGTACAAACTCTTAACTGGTACTTAACCAAAACCAGAAAAATCAGAGGTACAGCTTTGCAGCTTTTCATCACTACAATAAAACCTCACCGAGCTGGGACCAGAGACATTATAGCCAGGTGGACAGTTTTGGCTATCAAGTTTTCCAACCCAGATTGGCTGAACTCTGTGGACAATAAAACACTACGCCTCATCAGAGCTCATGATATTCGAGCAGTTTCCACATCATAGGCTTACTTCAGGGGCGTACGGATGAAGGAAATATGCAAGGCAGCATGTTGGAAGACCCCATCTACTTTCACCACATACTACCTCACTGATGTTCTGAAAAAGGATTCTGCACATGGCAGAGCAGTCCTAACATTGGCCACATCGAGGCCAAAGGGTTCCTCATAAAGTGGCCCACCACTGGGTCGACATAACAACTCCATTATTTGGTCAAGTCTGCAATAAAGTTTAGACAATTTCATACTCCTCTGGCGCTCATATTGCGTCCTCGCCGCACCCCCGCCTCCGAGGGCTTGGTGCTACTCTGCATATTTAGCGACTGTTTGGGGTAGGTTGAAAGCAGTAGACTCCCCCCTCCCCATAGAAATGTGTTGAGGTCTGCTATTGAATACCAACCCCAAACAGTCGGCTCCCTCCCATCCTTCCTCACTTTTGGCTTGGATGGTTTTAATACCGGAAAAGAAGGACGAACATGGCGGCCTTTCCGGTATACATCATGGGACTAGAGGGCACACTATGGTTGATCAGAAGTTTTAGCAAATTGAATCAGATGCACAGAAATTTGCATATTTAGCGACTGTTTGGTGTAGGTATTCAATAGCAAACCCCTCCAATATTTCTGTGGGGGAGGAATTTGGCTTATCAGAAATTTTTTTGGTCACTGGAGACAGAAGGGTGCCTGAATATGTCTGGAGAATATTCATATCATTACTACACTCTAGAGGATAATTAAATTTACCTGTGTGTTGCATTTCAGTCTGGATTCTTCTCCCACTATGAGCGTCTTGGTGTGGGTCACGCCATTGAGTTTAGTCATGAATCGCTCCAACTTGTCCACAACAACCTCTACTACTTCAACATAGAGCTCCTCAACTACGTTGGCTATGAGAACATCATCTCATCTGTCGGCATCATTGCAGACTTCACACCGCCTGCACCAGGGTTGATCATGAACGGGATCAAGGACGAATTGGTGCATGAACCATGTGTAGAGTTCACTCCAGAGGAGTGGGAGAGACGATGCATTGAAGACACACCGCTGGATAACCATCGGTAGGAATCACTGCCTAAAAATGGCCCTTTGTTTTGAATATGTGGCCTCTCATTGACATTATTTTTCAGATGGATCGTGGACAGGGTACAAATATCAGTGAAGTCTGGTCACTGGAATAGACACATTCCAGTATTAACCACTTCCTGCCGGGGCATTTATCAATGTTGATGATGCTGGGGCAGGATATTTATCATTTTTTTCTGTTTTCAAATTTCTTTAAGAATTCCTATCTTCATTTACAGGACAATTACCAACATGTGAAGGCATGTCTGGTGTCCTCTCTAGCCAGACAGACAAAATCTATGGATGCCTGAGTATTTCAGCCAGGCCTGCAGCCTTGTAAAAAGAGCCCAGATTTTGTGGTGTTGCATAATATTCTTTTGTTCATCAACCTGGCTCAGTGCACTGCTGACCTCTTTTCAATAGGGGCCAGATTAGCATGCAGCGGTGCTGTATGGCTCATCGCTGTGGTGGTGGAGCACTTTTGTCCCCAGTGGTAATCAGCTCGCTCTAAATGCCCCAAACCATGGTACACTGTTTCAAAACAAGGCTGGATTATTTCCACTTTTGAGAGTGAAAAAATGTCCGTAAGGCCCCGCAGCCTGGTCTTTTGTTCTGAGTACGGTCTTTACAAGGCCCTGTTCCTTTTGTCCAAGTTCGGAGATGCCGGCCACGCATATAAAGCATATGTGTCTGGATACGGAGTCCCCGGCAGGAAGTGGTTAAAACAATTCATGTGAACTCTTCATGAATACCCAAGTTGTAAGTGCCCGTGTGACGTCTAGAATTTGAACTTAGTTTTCATTAGGCTAATCCTGTACGTAGTGTACACCATGCTTTATACACTGAACTCCGGCTGAGTCCACATTGTAGAACTTGGCAAATCGCTCAAGTCAGTCAGCAGTCTTACGAAAAACCTGATTGTCTCTGATGTATTTCCATCAGAATTTTTATTTCAAAGTCAGCTTTCACAAGTCATCATTTCGCATACGTTGGCATGTTATTCTAGCTCGGTCCCATTCCCACAAAAAAAAAACACAACAAAACACAAAATCCCACATTAGTATTGACTTTTGTGCTGCAGTTGGTAAAAAGTGTCCGTGAAAAATCAAATGACGATGTCTGTTTATTGGCATCATCCATGATCTGATCAGTACATCTGTGTTTATATAGCGTTACACGACCCAGCGCGACATTGCGTGCCACTGCTTTCATGAACAGATCCCACCTTTCCCTACCAGCATGTGTACATTTAGAAACCATCACATGTACATGCTATGTAAAATTATATGGATTTTTCCTGCAAAAAATATGTGTATATAATGTTAAGGTATGTAGAGTCAAAATTGATAATTTCTGCTTCCCAAGGACCATACATGAGACGTTATGAACTAGCAAGTTACACTGAGATTGAAGCGCAGCCCACGAGACTGGATGTATGGCACACAGGTTCCTACTGCCAAAAATAAGCTAGTACAGCATGGAATGGTTGCTAACCAGTGACCACTGAACAGCTCAAAGCACATGTACATTTCCAAACTTCAACACTTCAAAAAATATGAAGCGATCAAAACTTCTGAAATACTTCAGCAAATGAGTTATTTCACGGAACTAAATTCCCATTTATGCATATGCATTTTCCTCTTTCATGTATTCTGATCTAAAGTGCATGTATTTTCAACGGTCGAGTGGAGTGCGCTTTTTGGTTGGGATTTCACCAGGTGAATTCAACATTTACCAGTCCGTGTATGCAGGTACCCCATACGCACTCAGTCTGATGGCCCAATTCGCTTCACAAAGTCCAGTCCCATCTCAAAACTTTGGAACATTGCAAACGATGTTCTTTTCATCGTGTCTATCTATGCTTGGACTACATGTAGATATTTTGAACATTGCAACCAAATCAAATACATTTACATACATGTAAGCATAGGTCATTATTTCATGTACATTGTAAGCTGGCAAAATGATGACTTACAGTAGAAGTTGACCTTCTCTTAAGTCGTCATAGCTTTTGCATTTTAAGGGTGCCCACTTAGCCAGAGTTTACTATATATTGTTTAAGTAAACTGTTTTGTTACAGTATGACAAATTAAATTTATGTTTTTTACAAATAGAGGCATTGCTGTTGAATGAAATTGTGATGGGGCAAATTACAACTTATATTAAACCCAGCTAGGGGTGTTGGGATGATAAATGGCCTGGCGTTTAGCTGAGTCCATTATTGTAAAAGTAATCTTTGCAGTGATTTTGTTACTACTTTTACCTTATGTTCTGTAAACTTCCCTTCTAGCCTTACAAGTGGTACATGTACCTCTTCTGTGCTGTGCAATAATCTCTTGGTATCAAAATTTGATGCACAATGCCTAATGTGAATTGAAATTTCAACTCTGTAGAATGTGGAAGCATAGATTGTATTGGCCTACCTGATGATGAGTTTTAGAGTCTGAAGTAGGAGTCCTGGCTTCATATGAAACCGGGAAAGTGTTTGAAACTGCTTAGTACCATTATCATCTGTTAAAATCCACCCTCATTGCCAGCTCTTGAACAGAACAAATGGGTAAGTTATATTTATAAATTGATGATAAAAGCCCCAAAATGTGTAATGCTGAGTGTTACGGCCAGTTGAATGATGTGGTTTTTGGTACATTAACCAAGGAAAAACTTACCACAATTACATGTACCTTTCTATCATTATTTGACCTCAGTTATGTCATTGATGGTCCCGGGTCTCTGACGGTATTCAACGGCCATGAAGAACAAGTGGACATGCTGTATACAAGGATTAATACCTTCATTGCAGGTAAGAGTGGGTAGGGATTTGTGCAAAACAGGGCAGACCAATGTGTGGACTAGTAACGAAACTGGTACAGATAATGTTGCTGCAACTTTGAAGTATGCTTAAGCCTTGCGACATTGTTCTGGGGCTGCGCAATATACAGTACTTGCTTATGATTTCATAATAACTTGCTTAGCTGCACCACATTTTCAGTACAGTTTTTTGGATGAGGACGATAATGGCTTTTGCAACGGTTATTCTTTTTTAATATAACAATAGTCATTAGACAGTCATTGAGTTACCTGCACCTGTTTTGAAAAAGTGTTTGTCTTCCTTCATTGGAACCTGACGGAAAAGTTCACTGTTCTTTCACAGCCAAACAAGTTTTTCATTACCTTCTTGTACAAGCCTAGTTAAGTTCATCAGCAGTGGTGAGGCTTATCCATACATGTTGAACTAGTCCAGTCATGCATTTTCCCTTTGCTTGGTGCATAATTTGTTGCGTAATTTACTTACACAGTACGTAAGTTTTGTGAAATTGGTCTTAATTTGTTGTGCAACTTCCGTGATAAAATATTCTCTAAGTGGAGTTATGTCACTGTGTAAAGTTTCATGAAATATCGGCTGCAGGAAAATATACAATTTTGCAGCAAGACACTCATAAAATTAAAGCCATCTTTCACTTTCCCTTTAACAGGTTTTTGCTTTGCAGTGTTTGATTTTGTATTTCTGTTTAATTTTATTTAATTTAAATCTGTTTCTGCAATTTATTAGGGCTGTTTTGAAGTCCATCGCTAATTTTTGTAACTAAAAAAATTATGTGCCAACTTCAGTGCAAAATAGAGAAGTTGTAGAGTTTCTTTTCATGCAAGTATCTCAGCATTACAAGCTCACTTCTCCACTTCAGAATTTTGGATTATTAAGATTTTGCTATTCTTTATCCAGGTTGAAAAGCCATACGGTTGGGTTTTGTTGTGCAGGCCTCTATTTTGACAATGCTCTGGATTCTAGTCCCACTGCCATTCTGGCATATCTGATAGTATGTTTGTTAACATCTTGTGTGTGAAATATGAATTTCTTTGCAGCTAACTGGGATGGTATCCATGACAATGAAACCGGTATCCATGGCTACACCTGGTCCATTGGTAGTGACGTCTGTGCCGATGATATCAGCAGGCATATTGACCCACATGCACACCTATTTGACGAGTCGCAGTGGACCCACCAGGGACTCGTTGTCAACATCAATCTTCCAGGTACTGAAACAATGCCATATTATTTCAAACATCTAAGAGATATACCAACCCATATGAACAGTATGGGTGGGCATTTTTTCTTTAGTTACTTTGAACTAACAATATTAATTGTTAACAGTCTTTGTAATTTTCTTTTTTGAAGTACATAATTTGTGCAAAATACTTCTACTAAATGTGCAATTCATAGAAAATAAATGTAAGCTAAGGTTTTCTTTTGTTACTTTCTGTTCTTCCGTCAGTTGTACGAAGTGTGTCTTGTAGTCGATCCCAACAACGTAATGTCATATTTTCGACATACATGTGTAGCTTTTAAAGTGGCTTGCCATGTGTACAGTGCTAAATTCAGGTCATGAAAGTGTCTGCAGTGAATATAAATACACATATTTGTTCAACAGATGGTGCATACTATATCTCGGTGCGTGCTCTCAACAAGGTGGAGTTTGGCGGTCCTATGGCACTCACTGTGTGCCACAGCACCCCACTCACTATCGACAGAACTCCGCCCATCGTTTACAGCATTCACGACATCACTTATGACTCCACCACCGGTAAAATCGGAATGCGAGTCAATGCAACGTGAGTATTCGTATAACATGTCTTTTGTTCGTTTCCATTCTGCTGTTGAATTTTTATTTATTTTAACGAATCCACAGCTTTTCTAAGGTCAATTCAGTAACACCAATTGAGGAGAAGGATACACCTTTGTAAATTTATGGATTCAGGTTCTGTTCTAAGCTTAGGTCATTGATTTTTATTTCTCTTTGAACTGAACAAACAGACCTGCATCGTGGTACCTGATATGTCATTTTGCAGCATTTCAGTTCTAGACTAATCCAAGGAGACAGCATGACTGCATTGGTAACACACTTATGTGCACCACATGCAACTTGAGGGACATATGCCTTTTGGTAAATCACAACCTGCTATTGGTCACAGAGCTACGTGTATTAAACCCACACATGAGCTGGGTACCACTGCAATATAATGGCTTTTGTTGACCCAAATCAAAGATCACATTTTATTTACATGTTTTTATGTGGAAAGATCAGTAGATCATGTCCCATCTGCCATAGAAAAGAGCACATGTAAACAAAGTGTGACATCATTATGTTATTCTGTGACATCGCACCCCTTCGGTGGGAGCAGGACCCGCGAGGGGGCTGTCTTCTTCAAGTGTGCAATGCAGACGGCACGACCGGATCGTCTCTGAGCGGCTAGAGACGTGTCCGTTGGGATGGAAGTATACCCGTTATCGCTGAGTTGAAAACCAGTGGTCCCAGACTCACAAGGCACAATACATGAATATCATACTATTACGATAAGTACTTACTGCATGTGTTAGAACCCACTTCTTTCAGCGGATGTTTTCCAGCAGTGCGTAAGCTTCCAAGCTATGCTCGTGCTTCTCAGCAGCGAACTGTCTCTCAGGCCCACTCTGCGAGTCTTTTATGCCTGCTTTGCGGACGTTATACAGGTGATTATAGCTCACAGTACTGCCAGTAGCCAATCAGCGTACCCCGGGCGGTCCCTCTACTGCAAGCTTCCGTCGAACACCTCGCGTGCCCTCTACGTTAACCCGCGAGTACTCAAATATTCCTCTGTTGTGTTACAATTCTCTGACACCTCACAAAAACAACATTGGACTATGTTGTGATTTCTGGAACAGCGTAACAGTGTTGAATAATCTGAACTGAACAAAGCACTTTGTTAAGTCAACATGTACGTTACATTAAACAGGATGATTCAGGCAGGCTTGCCCCCGAAGAACTTGGCACGCTTACCACACACTTCACTAACATTTGGGGCACGCTTACACCCGGAACGTTGGCACGCTTGCCACAAACAGTTTTGCACCCTTGGCCCCAAACAAGGTCAGCATGATTGCCACCCATTTCACGGACATTTGGGCATACTACTCTCCCTTAAAATGTTGCTCGCATGCCAAATAAGCAGTGGGGGCTGCTTGTCTCACACCCCTTATCGTAAGGAATGTATAGCTGTGCCTTTTTCTTGGTTCGTGAATATACATGTAACTATTATATAACAATCAATGTTTCCTCTGTATGTACGGTTGGCGTGCTAGCCCCTGGAACGTGGGGTTGACAGACCGTATTTATACAACAGAAAATTGATTAATCCAAAGTCTAGAATTCACAATACAAACATAACCTGATCTCCACTGTTTGGACATACAGTTGGAGTGTTAGCCCACTTTGAAAATAAAGGTGCTAGAAATTTATTTATACAGCTACAATTACGATATAATAAGTTGAAAGCACTTGCATGCATCCCTAACCGATCGGGCAACTATCTGTACTTGGAATTCTAAAAGAGCTGAATGTCTGAAATAAGGAGCAAGAGATTGAGCAGCCCATGGGTTAACATTTGTCACAATAGAATTTCCCTTGAAACTGAAAGCCCAAATGCTCATAATTTGCTGGGGCTACCATTAAAAGACAGAATGCAGACTCAATGTCCGAATTTGCTAACCACACACACTCATGGACAACACCAGATCACCATCACTATCAATGGATACATAACATACCTTGCGGTCCTCGGTATCAATGAAATCATTAATTGACACCCCATGTGGGTATGACAAGTGATGGATGAGACGAAAAGAATTTGGCTCATGGTTTGGAACCAGACCTATAGGTGAACATTCCAAGTTAGGAAAGGGGCATTCATTGAATGGACCAGTAATCCTCCCCATCAATAATTCTTTTTGCAATTTCTCTGCTACCACCTCCAGCCTGCCCGATGCCAATAGTAGCTCTGTTTGGGGCATTGTTCCCAACTCTACATGTGGTGACCCCATGCCCAAAACAAGTACAGTTGCTGCAAACTCACAAGGGTGCCACCGACAACCCATAGAACTGTTACACCCGTATGCAAAACAAATGGCCGAATTTACTTTCCCTTTTGCACCCTCGCCCAAAGGCGGTCACATGTCATTAGTAGTATAGGCCCATAGGCTGGGGGGCACTCACTTCTGAGTTCCGCTTGTTGGTGGTCTTTTTTTTGTTCTGAATATTTCAAATATACTGTAATATTTGGCATACAAGCCACGGCTTATATGTTGATTCTCAAGCTCAAGGTGACCATGATTCTGCATATTAAACCTTACAGTCCCAAATCCTCCAATTTCAATACAATTTTACATACACCTTAGGGGGTTAGGGTTAATGAGTCAATCTCCAGTCATATGTACCTTCAGGAAGTCCCGGCAAATATCCACATTTCAGGTGTTTCAAAGGGTTTGAAATCAATGTATTTTTGTTATGTTTATTCAGTATTGAAAACTGCAGTGTACAAGTCTTACATGCAACCTTTGGTTCGCGACAGAAATGCAACTTGTATGTTGTATTACAAAGCTCATTTTGCTGACTTTCCTACAGTGTGACATGGGGGGAAAGGGTCAAAAATTGGCCTTGTGTCTGTTTCTTCAAATGGCTTTAGGGTTCAGTTTCTGCTGAACATAGATCACTGAGTTATGATCTTACAAAACAGTGCTGCCAAACATGTTTCTGTCATAAACCCACAAAAACCCACAATGTGAAACTAACTCTGGAGACCAAATCGAAGCGTTGGATTTAAATGACTGTACTTTGGAGCAGTCTGCACAACACACTGCAGGCCTGTTTTCACATCCCACCATGTGCAGCACTCTTTAATCAGAAATCTCTGTCATAAACAGCGATCCTGAGTCCCATTTGCTTGAGTATCATCTGGCAGCAGGCAAGACCCGTAGAGATAAATCACTGCGGGACTGGGAGGCTCACGTGTTGGCTGAAGAGCTTTTCATGGACTTCAAGATACCAAGTGGTGTACCGTGCTGGGTGAAAGTCGGAGCAGTCAACAATGGTAAGAATGCTGATGACTGACGATTTTAGAGACTTTTAATCAGATCTATTTCCAAGGGTGGATTTGCACCGAGGAAATTGCCCTGCCCGACTCATGTTATAACACTCAAAACCTAAAGTATACTCTGGTGGGACTCACGAACCCACAACTTCCTGCTTACTAGTGCAGATGTCTTAACAAGTCAACCACCAAGCTTGCCAGAGTTGGCTGGCTGGTTGGAGTCAGATGTAATGTGGCAAACACAGTGTTAATTATAGTTACTCACATCGGACAGAGCCCCCCAAAATCCCAAATTAACTAACATTTCCCTGGCACGAATCCATCCTTGGAAATAGTTGTTCGCGGTAGCCGCTGCTACATCTGACTTGTTTTTTCATGAGGCTCTGAGCAGGGTAATAATAGACTTCAGTAGTGAAGCTGTGGAAATGAATTTGGGGTTACAGAAATGTACTCATCCTTTATTCTGCTCTTTAGGAATGGTTGTGGTCGTTGCCTATATCAGAGGTGCCCACTTTTCCGGTTTTATCCGCATTTCTGTTTGTTTTTTTTAAGACTCCTGAAATTCCATTTTGTCCTTTTTTCCCCTTCTGGCTCAAAAGAAAAGGTTAGAAAAACAAAACACAAACAGAATGCACTTATCTCACCTCTATGCGTCAGGAGTTCAATAACGGTCTTGTACTGCATGCACATGTGCACGGTAGCTCTGTCCATTTAGTTGCCTTAAAAACACGGCTGCTGAGGTTGCATGCGAAGCGGTATGCACTGCCTGTGCCAGCATGCCTTTATGATTGTCAAAACCATTTGTGCATACTGCACCGTGCACCGTATGCATGTGGTAGCGTGCTGAGCACATTTATCACACTGACACAGCCTTGAATTTAATATCAGTCATTCCCAATCACAGTGATTGTATGAACAAGAATATCATGCGTACTGTAACAAGCCTTGAACCAACTACATCATTGTCTCGCACTTGCACGTTTTGCCAGACGGTCAGGCTGTTGATGTCTGCAATGTAATCGGGCATGGTTTGGAGTAAAATAAAATCTCATATGTTATGCTCCAGATTTCATCAAAATTTGGAAAAATTGAAAATTTTAGAAAGAACTGACAACTTAAAAGCCATCAAATCAAAACCTTAAGGTGAAAAGTACAGTAAGTGGAGTCAGACATGGCTGTAAGAGAAGAGAATCCCGGTTGATATGCACTCTGCTCTTTATGCTTGGTCTTGCTCTTCGGTGCTATTCGCCACAATTAAAACAGTTTTATTTTTTAGCAGAATACGTCCTATGATGAAGTGCACCCTTGCCATGCATAGGCCTATTTCCCACTAAAGGGCTGTCATTGCTATTTTAGATTACACCCTTTCCTGATCAGAGTGGATAAGCTCACTTTGAGTTTTCACATTCAACTTCAGATTTAATATGCATGCACAAAGTTATAGTGCATATATTTCACCAATATTTGAATGATATACATCCAAGTCCGAAAGCAAATTAGCACCGTAATTTTTTGCAAATTGAGATTTAAAGTTGACGTATTATTTGCACTGGTGTATAAGCCACACTGTGGTACTGATGCTGTCCAACATGCAATATCTTCAAGTACATGTATAAGTAGCGCGTGAATGAGAATTGGTATTATACCTAAACTAGTACCTTAAAATGACCAATTTTGACAGAGTGGATGAGTGTCCTGGCTGGGTGGACCATGCAGTAGTTCTTCATTTTTTTTTTTAGACTTGATGTATATCATTCAAATATTGGTAAAATATATGCACCAATTCACCAGTGAAATAATAAACATCATGGATATAACACAAGGATAAAACAAACAAAAACAAACAGATGTACCCCACTAATTGTGATGGTGCTTACGGTGCATTTACAAGTCTGTTTGGTTGCTCTGGAGTGGTTTCCTATATTTCCAACACGTGAGTACAGCCAATGTAAAAGGTAACCAACGAGAATATGACTGTCTTGTCCCCGACAAAGCACTGCACCTTTTGCACATGCAGCTGGCTGACCGGCTGGCCAGCAGCCCAGGCGAGGCTGCGCTGAGGCATGGCATGGTGTCTAGTGACCAATTTCATTCTTCAAATGTTGCTGTAACAGGCATGTGGAGTGTAAAGCAGCTGGGGCTTTTTTCAGTGTGAGAATCAGTGTACATGTATAAGCCGGGGCCTATATTCTGAGAATTACGGTAATGGTATTCAAGAGCCAGAAAGTAAAAATGCTCATATTTCCACCAATCAAGGGTATTTTTGGATATAAGCACTATTGCCAGATTTACCAGCTTTTCCACATATTTTTCGTGAGTCAGGTAAAAAGAAAATCGGCAGCTGTGAATATATGACCACACATCTCTCTGCTTTATTTCAGTCGACCTACGGGCTGTAGGCCATGCTGACGAGCCCATTCTTGCAGATTATTCCCCACCAATTGCTGGAGATTTGTTTGATGGGCCGTATGCTGGACAAGATCTCACATTTACCAAAGACAGAAATGAGGTAAACGGATTCATGCTTCATCAGTGAAGTAGTGGTCTTAAACCCAGATTATGACAACTCTGAGCATTGCATATGCAGTCAAATTTGGCTTCATTAGGCTGGTTCTCCATGACACTACAACAAGAAACAGCAGTTAGTAGTCATCAACTATTGGAACAGTCTGTGATTCCATTGGTTTTTCTGTTAATTCATTAGATTTGTGCCAACTGGCATAATTGGCATGACCCCGAGTCTGGGATCTCCTCATATCTGTGGGCAGTTGGAACCCAGCCTGGCCTTAGTAACGTGGTAAACTACATCAAATTGTCTCATCGAGAGCATACTGCCTGCTCTGACTATGTGACCCTGCAGCACAGAGAGACGTATTACTCCACACTCATAGCCTTCCATGGTGGATATGATAAGGTCAATGTGACAGCTTCATCCAATGGAGGTAGTTGTTAATGTTACTATTGTAGGCATCATCACCAATGTTGTCACAGATATGATTATTATGGTCATTGATCAGAATCATTACCGTCATTCTCTTCAAAATGACCATCATTACCGCACTCATCTCTATTCTAAAGAGATAGCATCTTGAAAGACAGACTGATCAAGCTTTGATATCCACAGCTACTTCTTCAGATACACAGAAGGGTGTGCCTCTCATCATTGAGGGTTTAGAGGTGCTACTTCTTCAGTATATTAATGCTCTAGCAGACAAACATGACTGTACACATCTTTATGCACTCATTACTATATTGTTGTCAATGTTATTGCCATCAACGAACATTCCGCCTCGCCACTAATCATCCCTGTTATTGTTGTCGCTCTCTTGAACCCAATCATGCAATCATTGTGTTTTTTATCAGTGCTCTGATCCTTTCTCACTTCAATACCATCATCACAAGGAGAAGTGGCAGAATTTCTCTGAACGTGCACCTCTTACACCCCCCATTGTAACAATCACATTCACTGTAGACATCTGGATCATGTCTGTCTTCTATCTCTTCAGTGACTGTGGATCTCACTCCACCAATGCAAGGAAATGTCTGGGACAGCTCGCTTGCAGGAACTACTGATGACCTAGACTTCTCCTCAAGGCCGGCCACTGTGGAAGCTCAGTGGCATGGATTCTCTGATCCAGAGTCTGGTATCAAAGACTACCAAATCACAATCTATCGCAGGTACATTTGAGATTCTTTTGATTGGAAATTCAAATAATTTCACAGTAATAGTTGTATTTTTGGTTTGCATATTTTTGCTTATTGTGATTTTGAAAGTGCAAATCATAGTGGAACTACTTCACACGAAAATATCAGTTGGTAAATTTTTGACAGACTGTTTTTGCCAAATAGCTCATCCTCAATAAGAGATGATAGATCTGTTTAAACTGATGTATCTTGTGTGATTTATTTCGATATGTTCAACAGCGCATTTAGCGCCAATTACTAGATGAAGTGACATTAAGAAGACAATAAAGAAGTGTTCAGTTTTAGAAGTGGGAAGGAAACGTGATTCACATGCTGACCAATGTGGGATTTAAACCCAGTTCACAGAAGTGGAAGGCAAGGAAAGAGCCACTACACCAACATGACTCCTGATAAATATGTTCAGTGATTTCACAATATTTAGCTCCAATGGCTCAACTGACTTTGAGGTCATCCATGAGGCAGAATCAGTAAGCATTGCTACATCCTCCATTGAGTGGCATCACTTCCAGCTCCATCACAAGACCAGGTTTATGTCAACCTACGCACTGTCAACCAGGCTCTGAATCACATTGACACCCGTACCGATGGCTTCTTGGTGGATCTGACCCCTCCATTGCTGCACACCCTGGGCGACGGGTTGGTGGTTGGAGAAGATGCTGACTTCCAGGTGAGTACCTGCTAAGAATCATGCTGATACCCCTACCGATGGCTTTTTGGTAGACCTGACCCCTCCAGTGCTCCAAGCCCTGGGAGATGGGCTGGTGGTTGGAGAAGATGCTGACTTACTCCAGATGAGTATTGATACCCCTACTAACAGCTTCTTGGTAGACCTGACTCCTCCAGTGCCATGAACGTTGGGAGATGAGCTGGTTGGGGGTCAGTGTTAGTATTTTAATTCAATCATCATGCACATGTACATTAGGCTCTGTATAATTATCAAATTCTTTTGCTGATTTGTCTCTCTGTTGACACGACTCTTTCAATTGCTGCAAGCCCCGAGAGATTGGTTGGTGATTAGATACTTACTATCCCAGCAAGCATGTGGCATAATTACTGGAAAGTTGTGGTTTGAATGTAAGTTGGTGATGGTTTTTGGATGTTGTGACAATATACCTTACAATCCTGTCCTGGAAAGGTTGAAGCTGGTGATGTTAGCTTATAATGCTTTAAAATGTGACCTTGTCATTTGTTTAAACCTTACGAAGATATCACATAGCATCCTCATGAACTTTACAAATCTCCATTGCTGTGATATTCAAAGCCATGGCAACATGTACACAGAGTTTACAACCTCACAGCGATGGTGCTTTTGTTATTTGCTGGTGTGGCTTTTATTCTAGCCTGAGTACATTATAGTGTAATGTAAGCCTTGGATGCTTTTCTCCCCTCCTGCAGTCCCATTCAGATAGTCTTGCTGTTCACTGGAACTACTTTGATGACGAGTCTGGCATTGAATCCTTCCAGTTGGCCATCTACGAGATTCGACATGGGAACAAACGCAAGATCTTCCCTATGGGTACGTTGTGGCTCCTACACCCTGCTCCAACAGTTTAGTCAAAATCAATGCCATACCATTCCTCTCTGGTGTTTACTGACACCAAAACTGCTTAGATTTAGGATTGTGTACTGATGTGCGTGTTGCTTTCCTTTTCTGATGCTTAGATCCAAACCCCAGGAGCTTTGAGTTGATCTCTGATATCACAGCTCGGTCCCATGTCCAAAGTGGTCTGACACTGCGTCCTGGAGCTCTCTACGTGACACAAGTCAAAGCCAAGAATCAAGCCAAGCTGGTTGCTTCTCATGAAACCAGTGGCATCATGGTGGATCCCAGCCCTCCTGTGGTGAGTATCAATCTTGGACACAGCCAGCAGAGACACAGATTCAGGAGCTGACAAAAATGAGGAATTACCAGTCAGCACCTGCAAGCCAATTCATGAAACTTCTCACCAATGGCTAAACTTCACTTAAGCAACATTTTGTTGTGGAAGTTGCGCAACATATTACAACACATTTCACAAAAGTTGCCACTGCGACTTGTGCAACAAATTGTGGAATAACTTGTGTAATCATTTAAGGTAACCTAAGTTGTGCCAAACAAATCAGAAATGAATGGCTAGACCAGCTATTCACTATTATTTAAGGCCCAGCACTGCTCAACTTATCCTTGAAAATAATTTTACATGAGTAATGTAAACTGTAGTTTTATTTAAGGTAATCAAAAGTTTGTTTGGCTGGGGGAAAATTTTGAGATTTTCTGCCCATATCTGACAAAGGAAAGATGAATACAACAGTTGTTGCAGAAGTGATTGTCCTTGTCCAAAAAAATTTAATGTATTAATTAATACCTTGTACAGCAAAATGACAAAATTGAATATAGGTGTATATATTGTGCAACTATAACACAAACTTATGTTGTAAGGCTTATGCATGGTGCAAAGTTTTCCTACGTTTTGTAAAATTGGCTTTAGAACATTCCATGGCTTGAACGTTATGAAATAATCCTTAACATTACACTCATAAGTATTCATTAGTTGTATACCGTTATCACGATGACCCTGAATTTTAATGGCTTTCCCCTGTTGAAGAAATATCCAAAATTTAATCAGTGGTGCCAATTGGGTTACTGTAATAGATGAGATACATCTACGGTGGCAACCTTGACGGGGAGGCTGAAGAAATCTTCAGTGGCTACTTGTACCAGAACAGTCGCTCCACAATCCAGGCATCCTGGCTGGCTGCAGATGGTCAGAGTGGTATCAAGAACTACTGGGTAACAGTTGGAACAGCACCATGTGAGTAGAACATTAAAGACAGTCAGTCGGAGCAGTGCTGTCTGAGTAACACATTAAAAAGGGGGAGTTTGAACAGTGCCGTGTGAGTAGAGCATGAAATAAATTGCCTCTCAGAGAGCTGTATATTTCAGCATCACAATGTCTACTTTTAAACAAAATGAACCACAGATTTCCCCAAATGTATCAGTTTGAATGTGGAATGTATGTTGTCCTTCTTATGCAGTCCTTGAATGCTATTTTTCAGTTTTGGCACAATACTGACATTACTTACATTGTCAGTGTGCATGTGATCCCTGGCTGCAGGGCTTATATACAAATGGCTTCAAGGGCAAGAACGTTGAAGTCCACTAAAAAATTGAACATAGGGCTTGGCTGGTTTATCTAATGGATAAGTCGGTCTAGTACAGTACATATATTTTATATGTTGCAGGTTTGAGTTATATCTTCAGTTTCATTTGTTCAAACCATGATCCAAAAGTACCTTGCAGGTTTCTATTGTTTATTCTATAGCCAAAGTTTTTTTTCTAAATATCAAGATTTGATAAGCTTAAAGATCTATTCTCAAATGTCAGATCTGTCTCTTGTACGTGTTTTTAAAGATGTTGTTCAACAATGGAGGATATTTGAGTCTACTGAAAACACACTAAACCTAAATAAACATCATTTTTGCAATCCGACCAATTTGAAAAAAAGGACTTTTAGAACCGTATTTCCCAGGCCGGATTATTGACAAACCCATTATCTGTCTAAAAATCATTGAGGGCAGCATGTGAATCAGCCGAAATTGTGAGGTGACATGTGGGAGTAGTTCCGGCAGGGTATTTTAAATCGCTTGGCTCGATCCATGCAGTAACCAAACACTATGTTAGACAATAAAACACACTATCGGAGTTCTGCTGTCTCATCACGTCCTCCCTGGACAAAACCATTGCTGGAAACCGCATTGTTGATGGCATCTGCTTCCCAAAGTTTGGACTAAACTTGATTTGGCAAAACCGCTTCATTGCTGCTTGCCATTGACAAGATTCTTCTCATCATAGGAGTGAGAAGAAACTGAAAGATTATCAGCGTCACAGTCAGAAGACACACTGACACTGAGACTGATAGGCTTGGAGCCCTTCTTTATTGTGTATACAGTAAACAGTTGTAGCTATTCGGACTCCCACATACTGCGTCACACTTTCACGGAGTAGGCAAAATCAAACCAACGACCGTTTTTTTCTGTCCACCAGACCACAAAACCGCAAACTTTATCCTCACTTTGAGTTTTAAATACACGGTTTTAAAAAAATAGACCTTGCAGTTGTCTCTGTGATGTATACGAATATACTCTACATTATATTATAAGACATATTGCTGAAAAATGTCCTCCATTGTTCAACAACATCTTTAACATTCTTCTCTCTAGATTTGGAAGACATCCAGACCTTCACCTCCTTTGGCTCCAAGAGCAGCGGTGTCCTGACCAACCTGAATCTGCAGCTCACTNGACCCATCCACCTGCAGTGATGAGGCATTCACCGAGGGTTGCCGGCCAGTCTACTATGTGTGCGTCAAGAGTGAGAATGGAGCGGGGGCTTTCAGTGATGTCATCTGCTCCTCACCAATCAGGGTGGTGGACAAGGATCAGGCAGGTGGGTTGTCATCATTTCAGGGCATACATGCTTTGGGCAATCCATAGTTCCTATAAATCAGAATGGGGCTACAGATAAAACATTCAAACATGTATGTGTATTTACACACATTTATTCATATGCATTGGCTGGTTGAAGTGAAACAGTTGAAGTGAAATCAACTCCTTTAGAGACAAGTCTGTAGACACCAAATAGGTTTGAAAAGCTGTTGTACAAATGCCGCCAGGCCTCACACAAGAAAAGCAGGCCTCAATATTCTTAGATACATGCAAGTGCTGTCCTGTAGATGAGAATCTACCTTTTGTGCAATTAATGGTGCGGGACTCTGAAAATACAGTGTTCTTGAAGGTAGCACAAGGTGAACTGTAAAGTTTTCAAACGGTGAATTTGTTGAGGTATCCGCGTCGAACAGAACCAAAAAATGGTGCAATTGTCTTAGCAATGAAAATGAAGGCACCTTTAAATTTAGTGGGAACCACACTTTGCTGGTTCACGAACAACTCTTAAGTGAACATGTTAGGAGTCATCTCAAATCTCGTCCGGGAAAAGTTCAGGATAAACCGCAGAAGAGTGTTGCGGTGGAATGTTGAAAGCTTCTGCAAACTTCCTCGTAATCTTCCCGAAATGAAGTTAACAGTATTTGTATACATATTCTTCCCCTATCCTCCCCCCACTTTGCGGTTTGGGCCAGGCAAGCCACACAAGGATACCTGTAGTTTTGGTGACAGAGGAGCCACAGGCAAAGGACTGCACTCCTTACATGGAGCTTTTTGAAACTTCTCTATCAGTATCATTTGAAATAAATATACATCGACCCTTTCATAGCATACAAAGCTTCTATAGGTTTTCTCCTGGAAAACTGTAGTCTTACTTCTGGCAAATACAACTTTATTTGTATATTCAATCTCGCAATGTTACTGTACAAAAAGACATTAACAAGAAGAGATGCTGTACAGGCCCTATATCTCAAACAATCCTGCTGTAATATCTTTTTTTATCGGCCAAAGAAATCATGGCATAATATACGGGAAGTTAAGCATACTGTTGCTTTGTATGTTATTATCTTTTGATACAAAATACTGGACATCTGTTATCACAATTATGATCAGACATTCTGGCTAGGAAACCTCTCAAAAACATCTAAGTGAATACTTCCAGTTTTGAATTCAGAACTGAATGGATACGGAAGTGTAACAAGGTGCAGAGGTAACACAACTTGTACATTTAACGAGTGAACAAAGCAAAATATACTTGTGTACAAGCAAAAGGACTGACAAAGTCTGTAATTTTTTCCAGAGCAACCATCTGATTAAGTTTAAGTTCAACACTGAACACATGACCTCAGAGGAAGTTGTAGTGTGTTGAGTGATCCAAGGTCAGTCTCTAGAAACTGCAAACAATTTAAATACTGACCACCTATTACGAGCCCACTGGTAATGTAAACAGTCCTTCTCAGTAAGTGACGGACTGATGCAAATTCCTCCACAGCTTCCCCTCAATAAATGTACAGCTTCTTGCGGGGAAATTGTGGGGAAAGGATTCACTCTCCCTGCAATTTTACCGCAACTTGTCCGCAACTTGCTAGTGACAAGATTTGAGACGACTCCTAATAGGCCCTGTCACTAGCAACAAAATGAAAACTCCCCACCATCTTGGCTCTGTATTTTTCTGCACCAGGCAGATAGATTGTTGAGTGTCCTTCAGTACAGAGACCAGTAGTGCAAACCTTTGCATTGATGAATCTGTGGAGGTATAGAGGTCATGATGATGATTGTCCTTCCATTAGAATAGACACTTTTAAAAGGCAAAGAAGACAAAGTTTCCAGCTTGTATTCTCCACGTAGCTCTCTTTTACTTCTCACTGTATAGGTTATGTCACTGATGGTCCAAGCATACTACAGGATATAGATGCACAGAAAGAGAAGACAACTGTGACTATATGGTTTGATGAGTTCGAGGTAAGGCTGTTTTTATAGGGTTCATGAGATTTTTCTGGATGCTTCAATTTTAGTTACACTCTCCGTGCAGAACTTAAGTGACTACATTTTTTTGTTACTTTGCTGGAGGTATTTGATGTGCAGAAATTCCATGCGTGTTTGATAAAATGTCTGGTTTTTTTGCAGCTATATTCTGTCTTTCTAAAATTGAAACTTTCTTGCTTACACTTTTTTGGGGGAGTATCTGATGTAAAAAAACAACTTCTAGTTTTCAAGACTTGATGAGAGCAAAACATCCTTGTTTTTATCGTGGAAATTTGTGTCACCTTGCTTTTACAAGAACAAGGACTACTGTGTGGAGACACTCAGTGTGGCTTTAACTTTTGGACGGTCATTTGAAAAGTCTTATCTATGAAAATTATCATGTGTTTGAGTTCTAATTGTCAAATCTAAAAAAAAACACTAATGTGCACTTGCACTGCAGTGATTGTGAATTTTTTTCTTCTTTGTTTCCATGGAAATAAGCTTTAATCAAAAATATTTTATTTCAACACAGAGCTCCCTGCACGGTATTTCACACTACGAATGGGCAGTGGGTACAACTCCTGGTGGTGAGGACATCCAACCTTTGACCTCTGCTGGCATCGTGCCAGGCAATGATAAAGACATACGTGGTATGATTGCTCAATATAGAGTCATCTTCAATTCAACATTAACCCTTACCCCCCTGGGACCTCAGAAATCATGCATATGCTTCTTGGATTCAGATTGGTTAGGGTTTAAAAAAGGCACTTTTAAACTTTCCCTTTTCCCCAATGCCCAATGTTCAATTTGCACAGTGCTTGTATGTCATGGATAATCAGATACACTGAAAGTTGAAAATAAAAACTGATTTATCAAAATTTAGTGGTGCAGAGTTGGATCAATCATGGGGTCTCTTTGGGTTTCATTTTCTGTAAGGAAAGATGGAAATTACCTTGAAGTGAATTTATGACTAGTTGTCTATTTTTGGTCATCAACTTGGATGTATGGAAGACACACTAAACATGCCAGTTCTAAGGATGCAAAACAACATGCATTTCCGTTGAGGTATTTTTGTTTGCAAATTTATCTTTCTGTGACCTTATGCTGAGATATTCAGAATCATAACTTTGCTTTCTTCTGCAGGATTAGCAGGCAGGGGCAAGGCCCAGTCACCTCTTCCCCTCCAGCATGGCGTGACCTACTATAGCACACTGCGAGCCATCACCAATGGAGACAACGTCTTGGAGGCCACGTCCAACGGCTTCACGGTGGACATCACTCCACCGGAGATTGTGATCACCGGCTTAGGCCAGTATGATGCAAGGGTCAATCTAGTGAGTGAATTTATTTCTTCTTTTCTGTTACACTCTCAAAAATTCCTCTTTTACCCTCAACAGTTTCTGTTAATTGCTTTACACAGCTAGACAGCTACATGTCAGTAAGGTTACTAGTGCTTTACGTCCCTTTTCTAATGAGATGTGAAATTGAAAATTGATACTGGCTGCTGGAATGTTTGAAGGGTAACTGAACAAAGGATCAATGATACGCTGGTTCACATTCAGGTACGGTTGTAATCCTTTTCACTATGTTTTATTTCCAGAGCTTAGACGGTGGAGTCAATCTTTACCAGTCCAACACAGACTCTGTTGATGCCATGTGGGATGTTCAAGATGGAGAGAGTGATGTCACTGCTACATACTTCTACATGGGGCAGTACCCAGGGAGTGACAATGTCTACCCCATTACATCAACAGATAGATCCTACATTCCATCAGCACTTGTGAGGCCTGCCCCAATAGGTAAAGTTTGACAGGGTGCTTGAATGACTGGCTCCCCTAGTTGCCCTTCCACCAAATGATTGATAGTTCTATTCACATAACTGGCATGACATCCTTCAACTCTCACCCGCTGCCTTACCTGGCTGGCTNGCACCCCATTCCCTTGTTGCCCCTACCGGCTGGCTGCATTCAATGGTCAAGCCTATAGCCATCATGGATTGGATAAATGCCTATTTTGTGATTGCATAGATATGATGCATATTCTAAGACCAGATCATGATTGGCTGCATGTTGATCCAGTTTAATGAATGATTTTCAACTTGTGGGTCTCATTGTCATTTTGTGGTGTTCGTCAAGCATAGTATGTCTTGACCGTAATTTGTTTCAATTTTGTAATGCCACACCTGATAAATGCTTAGCTGTTCAACTGTTGCTATTTTGAATTAGTAACCAAGAGTTATATCACAAGTTTCGCCATCTTTTCCTATGGAAACCATCTGTGTTTGATCCAGGTATCCCCAACATTTTGAGTGTTCAAGCAGTCAACAGTGTTGGGTCCAGGAGAACTGTGCACAGCACAGGTTTGACTGTGGATAACACCCCACCTAGTGGTGGTCAGGTTGGTGCTTCCTAAACTCATTTTTCCATTGAACAAAACATATATGTCCCTTCTCAAGCTTGCTGATTAATGGCCCTGTTAAGTCCTAGTGTTGAAAAGGAAGTCAAGGTGGTGTAGTTGTCATTTCTGTGACCCAAGTTCAACTCTTATCTTGTTGGCACTCAGCTTAGGTTTTCAATTCCTGGTTGGTTCCGTGGGTTTTCCCTGGAATTTTTTTTTACCGGGGTTCTCCTCCCACTCCTAAAATTGAATATTTCTTCGCTTTTTGTATTGTTTCTCATAATCATCCTATGATGGCACTTGCACTGTTGGATGCAAAGCTATTTTTTATGGACTGGAGAATCTGACTTATTTGCATTTACACATAGTTTTCCTGTTTTCATTTCTCTTCACATGCAGTAAAATATAAACATCTGTATTACAGTAAATGCTTTGATTTATTGTCTTCATTGACAATCTGCTTGCAATATTTTGACCTCCGATTTCAGTACACTGTGGACATCTTCTGATTCTCTTATTGCCTACTTACCCTTACCAGGTCCAGTGTCCTGCCTTCATCCATGCTGACAGCATTCTCTTGTGTAGCTGGACTGGCTTCCTCGATGCTGAGTCTGGTATCGATCACTACAGTTTTCTCGTTGGGACAGCCCAGGGCCTGAGCGATGCATATCAGTCTGGTACCTTGCCTGGATACCTCACTCGCTACAGTGTCAGAGGTCAGTTGGCACATCATACATTTAAATGTGGGCTGTTAAAGGTTGATTTAAAGGGGAGCATGAAGTATGTGGGAAGACTATTTTTCACAAAGGTGTAAATGATAGCATAAATATTATGATCTCATACTTGACAGATATGAATTTGGCTCACAACCAAGTCTACTATGCCACTGTGGAGGCTTTCAATGCTATCAACCAAAGCACTATGGCATTCTCTGCCCCAATCAAGATCGATGATACTCCTCCGTCATATGGCCTGGTGGTAGAGCTGCCTGGAATACACACCTTCAATTTCAGTGATCCGATGAGTCTGCCAGAATTGGACTGTACTAACCAAGAGGAATGCTTACTCCTGGACGGAGAGTGTCTGGAATCACTCACTCAGCTGCAGATCCTGTGGCAGCCATTCACTGACGGAGACACCCAAATCACTAAGTATGAGGTTGCCCTGGGCACCACACCTGGGGGTTCTCAGGTCAAACCCTTCTATGAAGTGTCCAAGGATCAGACATCAGAGCTCATCACTAACATTGATCTGAGTGATATCCGTAAGGTCTATGCCACAGTTAGAGGCTACAATGAAGCCGGTCTGACCAGCACTGCTGTGTCCAATGGCATTTTTGTCAGCCGGTTCAGTGCCGGCCTTCAACCTCTCCGACCCTTCCAGGTCAAAGATGGAGTCAGCGACAACGAACTTGGTGACATGGACTTCCAAACATCACTCCATGAGATGAGTGCAGCATGGGACTTCAGCGGGGACCCCTGTCCTATCACGAAGTATGAGTGGGCCATCTATAGAGTTGACAACCAGGAGATTCAGCCATTCACCAATGTTCAAGGTAATGACACAGATACTAGACTTTGAGGGCTTTTTAATGTCTAAAACCATCTGTGTACTTCCAGCTAAATGTCAGCATTTTTGTTTCAATTTGGAGGTAGAGCATGAAATTTCTGTGGAGTCATTTTGTTGTGAAGCCAAACCCTTTTGGCAAAATAGGCAAAATTAACACCTTTGGCTTTTTTAATGTTTTTCCCTTACTAAGTAAATGATTTCCTTAACGTCTGAATCTAAAAACAGCATCTGGTTTCATTAATGAAACAGACCAAACTTCAGACACCAACACAGATGTTGAAATGACAGATGGTGAGACCTACTACAGCATTGTGCGGGCTACCAACGCCCTTGGCCTGGCCATCACTGTCCGATCTGATGGAATCACTGTGAAGCGAGAACCCTTGATACCTGGGCAGGTGTATGATGGCCTCCTGGTGGGCTTTGATCTGACTTACCAGAAGGAGACGGATACCATATCAGCAAGCTGGAGGGGGTTTGGACAGGGAATGCCAGTTAAAGAAACTGTTCATCACACAGGTAAGTGCGAGCATAATCAAAATAGACAATTGTTGGAAAGAAACTGGAGAGCCTTCGTCTTTGATTCTGAATTCTGAGATTAGACATTAAAGGGGATTAAAATAACCAATTTGTTCGCTTAAACCTCAGAATTGACCCCCATCCATTGTTAATTGTTTTTTAGCTGCTAAGTGATTTTCCCTCCCACCCCCAGAAACCCCCCCCCTCTGGAAAAATGTAGTTTGTCTCCCTGAAAATCTCCTGGTGATGCCCTTGTGAAGGATTATAGTTGTCTTTACTGTTACCTGTTAAGGAAGGATTCAGGTCAACACCCTAGAAATTTGCACTTTGTGCTACATTATATTTGAGTTAGACTGTTGTTGACTTACATGTATGTCCACTACCCTGAATTCCTATCTAGGAAATGCTGAAATCGCCAGAGACCTCTTCTCGGAGCAAAGTATTGATTACTACGAGGCAGCGGTCGGTACTGACCCTCGCTACCCTAAGACCAGAGACAATGTAGTGCCCTTCACTCACGTTGGCTTAAACACCACAGTCACCTTCACTAACCTGGACCTGACAGTACAAGACTCAACTTACTACGTGACAGTTAGGGCATACAGTGTGAACTTTGCCACAGCTGAGGTGACATCCACAGGGATCAGTGTTGGGATAGGCAGCACAGTCCATGGTAGGCCTCTTCTAAATTCTGCGATGGAAAACATAAAGGAGGAGGAAATGGAAAGGCTGATTTGAGCAATGAAAAACATGCAAGGCTGACACTTTGATATGAGTAGAATCATTCCCAAAAAGGCTTGGTCAAAACATATTGCTTTCATGAAAATGCAAGGCACCTTTTTAGCTAATTCCTAAATATTTCCTAGTCTTTTCAACTCATGTAATTGACTTGAATTACTTTGAGATCTTTTAGAAAGCTGTCTGATTTCTCTTGTTGAAGTGCAAGGAAGCCTCATGAAACAACTGTTATGTATTTCTTGTTTGAATAAAATACTCAAAGTTAGGTTAAAATTAAAAATTGATATCTTTTCAAACAAGAACCCAATCATAACCTGATGTTCCAAGGTCTTTATTTTCATGTAGACTTCTTTTTCTTGGTGTGAATTGTTTTAAAACTTCACCAACTGAAATGTGCAGTGACATGAATTGACTCTTCGTGTCAACCATAAATCTTAATTTGGTCAGTGTCATCCAGTATTGAGGCAATTATGATATGAGTTGAATATTTTGCTTGATTGCATTTTGCAACTGACCAGGAACTGAGGTAGAAGTGCCCAAGTATGTGAACTCGGTCTCAGAGGTCCAAATCATGTGGGGAGAATATGAATCCACACTCCCCATCCTGTTCTACTACGCCGGCCTGGGTGAACCCTCCCCGTCCTCCATCCCACCTGAAGACATGGACTGCCTGGATATGCTGTTGGGGACCAAGGAGGCCCAGGCAACCTTCAGCAAGAGGCAAATGCGCTTTGTTGGCAAAGACACCTATGTAGATATCAGAAGCCTGAGTCTGACCCAGGAAGACTCCTACTATGTGACTGTTGTGGGTGAGTAAATTATTTCTATTTATAGCACACTGTTTGCTTGTTCTTTATCCTGGTTGGCTGAAACAGGTTGGGTTCACAACTATGCATATAGGCTAGTGCAGTTAAGTTGCTTCAGTGTAAACTAGACAGACCTGGATTATTTTTGACTTCTTACAGTGCCCTCAAATGATGCAAACAGTAAATAGCAACTCAGAAAATGAATCCAGAGAAGCTAAAAGCTTTCCTTAAATTGACAAGTTGCTTATCGTTCATCATGAGCTAACTTTCTGAATTAATGCAGTTGAATGTATAAACCTGAAAATACTTTTTTGTATTTTATATATTTGACAGAGGTGCGTTATAAAACACAAATGGACTGGCATAATTCAGTTATTTCTGCATGTTCATGAATCCTTAAGGTCTGTTAGTGACCAGATGGGGTCATACAGTATTTCCACCAGCCTATGGCCTCCACTAGAAGATGAGGGTTAGTTTCAGCCTTTGGAAATAAAGGACCATCTTCTGATCACTCAAAGTCCCTTTGGACGCACAGGCATGCACGAGCAACCTCACTGCCAGTTTAAAGTGTATAATATAGTGTATTGATGTAGCCAAAGTTGGCCAGATGAGACTGAATTTTTATTTTGTTCAACTTTTGTCCTTTAGGAGTGAATGAAGGGGGAGAGTGTAATTCATCTACCAGTTATTTCACAGTTGATGTCACACCTCCTCTTGAGGGTCGACTGCGTGGAGGACCTTTCTATGACATGGTATGAGTTCTCAGGAAAACAGTGTATTTGGCATCTGTTTTTACAGCAGCCAGGCCACTTAAGATATACCTGTAGGCTCTCCACATTGCCTTCCATGCTTGGAAACAGATCCAGCAAACAGGACGAGAAGCCACCACTGTATAGTGGTACCAACTTTCGCATGGGAGCAATTATACATGTTAACATGCCACATGAAATCGCCAAGTTTATGAACATGTGTGATATGGCCCTGAGTGTGTTGCCCTTGCAGCAATTACATTGCCTAGGATGAGTCATATCATACATGTTAGAGCACACATGTGATATGGCCCTGAGTGTGTTGCCCTTCCGGTAATTGCATCCCCTAGGATGAGTCTGTATCACACCCGTTAAAGCACACATGTGTGATATGGCCCCGAGTGTGTTGCCCCTGCAGTAATTGCATCCTTCTAGGATGAGTCTATATGACACCTTTTAGAGCACCCGGATATGACCCTTCGAGTGTGTTGCCCTTGAAGTAATTGCATCCCTCTAGGATGAGTCTATACATGTTAGAGCACACATGTGATATGGCCCTGAGTGTGTTGCCCTTGCAGTAATTGTATCCCATAGGATGAGTTTTTATCACACCCATTAGAGCATACCTGGTCGTCTGTGTGTTGTCCTTGTAGTAATTGCATCCCATAGGACGAGTCTATATCACACCCGTTAGAGCACCCATGTTTACGTTTATTTTCATGTAGTTAAGAAAACTAGGCAAAAGTACCCACTTTCCTTGCACTGGAAACTCTTTTAAGCTGAATTTGTGTCAATGGTTTCCTTGACTGTTCTTCTTCCTTTTGCCAAGGATGAATAATTAAAATGCTTGAAAAATGTTTTCCACAAAGGAAGTAATTAGCATTATGTGAACCTTGCCAAGTCCACACAAAGTTCGTACAACTTGTATTATGTGGAACTCATTTTCAATTTTTTTGTGAGTCCACACAAGGAGTGTAAGGTTGGGGCATAATTACTTCTGTTGTTTTCAAATCCTTTCTATCACTACCCGCAGGCAGCAGCATACACCGACAGCACCGATTCAGTCTCTGTTGCCTGGGAGGGCTACAGGGATGATGAAAGTGGAATCAAGTCCTTCAACCTCCGCCTGATGCAGGCTGCATCGTGTGACATCGACGATGACAACAACCTGACTCCGCTACCCAACCAAGACTGGCTGGTACTCAGCCCAGACACCAGAGATTTTACATTTGTGGCCCTAAGCCTTGCGGTAAGTCTGTTTCGCGTTTATCTCCTGATACACCAAGCCATTGATAATTGATGAACTGAATTTTCTCAAGTTCCAAAACCTTCAGAGTGACTTTTATTGTCTCATTAGATAAAAGTAGAACTGTTTTCCAGTTCATTATCCTCACTAATTTAGTCATAATGCCTGCCAATCTCTTGGCTTATTCACATGTTTGCCTGACAGGTTTTGCTCTGTCACTATGTGCCTGACCATTGTTATTTACCATTTTCTTACAATGCAGACAAACCAGCCCTACTATGCTCAAATGTCGGCTGTTAACAACGCTGGAGGCAGTATCCAGTCCCAATTCGGACCCATCTTTGTCGACTCTTCAGAACCGACAGCTGGAATGGTGGTCGATGGAATGGATTTCATGATGGACGTAAAAAACAGCAAGGATCGAAATCAAGTTTCTGGTAAAGTGACATTGCTAGGTAGTTCATTCACTGCTTTGACAATAGGTTTCATGATAAAGCAGTACCTAATATTGTTAACCCTGAGGCTCTCATTGGCTGATTTGTTTTGCTGTATGCAGGAACAATCCTTCATTTGCCCAACCCAGTGGGTCCATCTTGTCCAATGAAGGACATTCCCTTCACGGATCCACATTGGTCAGCGATGGATTTCAAAGGACTGTTGAATATGAAAAGAGACAAGTGGGACTTGGAATACAAAATGCAGCAGGTAGGCTGGTCAGTGTAGTGTTTAATGAAAATTGCCTGAGATAATAAAGTAAATCGGTTTTTATTTCCACAGGAAATCCTCATGGGTATTTTTCAAAAATGTTTTAAGGTTTGTGTTGTCCCCATTGTTTGGATTGTCTAGGTATCTGCATCCAATGAGAGTTTGACACTTAAGATGGAGCGGGACACAAGAGGGCCTCGCATGCTCTCTGGGGCCTATGTCACCAATGCACAGATTGTCAGGAGCTCTGAGTATGAGGTTAGTAGAGACTACTTAAAGAAGCACAAGGGAGAGCACTTATTGTTATGTTCAAAATATTCAAATACTCCCCAGCATTAACTTGTGCAAGTGGAATTGCATTTGATTTGATACTCATATAACTTCCAACTGAGCCAGTTATTGGGAAGGCATCCCAATGTTTACCGACCAAAATGTTTTGTTCCCAAAAATTTAATTGGATGTTCAAAAAAATGGATGGCAGAGACATCATCTAAAGCTCACTTTTACTGATGCGATAAGAAATTCACCATTTCCAACTCCAGATATGCAGTGTTAAATTTGACAAAAGTTGTGGTGTTTTGCACTGCCTTGTGCCATGCAAAGGTAATGTGATGATGATAAAAATCCAGCAGAAGCATGGAGTTTTGGATAAAGATGGGGTTCATTTTGCTGCCAGATAGAATCACACAGCCAGAATGTGATAGGTGTGTGATGTGATTTCTGGTCCAAATATAGTTATACTCCTTAATTATCTAAAAAGAAATGAAGTAAAGTTAACACCAAACATAGAAGGTAGTTCACTTTCGCTGCGTGTAGACTGTAGGCTTTGCAAATGGTCACAAGAAAGTCTTGTATTGTGTGAGAGAAAGACTAGAAATGTACGTGTTTGCATATTCTTTGCTTTTGACATTTCCAATTGGGAATTACTGCTGGACCTCTTGACTTGGCATTGCTCCTGAGGCACATATATAATGTATGGCTCACTGTACACACATGCCTCTGACAAAAGCACAGGTCAACATCAGGCATATAATCAATCACACTGTTAGCAATGTCCCATTGGGCTTGTATACATGTGGTATTTATCATTTGCCCCAAGAGCCAATTAAAGTTAATCAGGCATGCAATCTTTCCTCGGATCAGCTGATGATTTCCTCATTTTTCACTTCACTTATACCATTGAAAATTAAAAAACACTGTACAAAGTCTTGTAAAGATTGGAATAGCCTCATTTTGTCAAAGTCCAAGTTGCATACCTGGTTAACGTAAATTCATATTTCGATTTCAAAAGAAGATAATTTTGTACGTTTTGAAAATAATTTTTACCTGTTTGGTCCATTGGCCAAACAGCTAGGTTTATGTTCATTTTTCTGTTTTATTTCTTTTTCGACAATAACCCCTTAACATAATGCATGGCCTTTCCACACCCCTTTGGGCCTTTTAATTAACAAGCCAAATTCTTGTTAAACTATTTGAAGATATATGCCAAGTCATGATGTCATAATGACGTCATCACAAGTCATGTGGCAGGCCCACAAATGTAAACTTTTTGTAAGCTAATATATCCAGAAACAAACTGCTGAAGTTTACAAATTGTTAAAATATTGTTATTTTTCATTTATTACGACCTGTCTCCTGAACAAAACAAGGCATTTTTAAAATTCTTTTTCACTACCTTTGTTTGACTATGTAGATGTGTAAGGTCTTTTGAAATTATGTGACATCAAAATTGTGATTAGTGATCAGCATGCAGAACATCCAACTGTCTTGAAATTTGATCGGATGATAAAATATGCCTTCCTTGTGACGAAGCTGAAGAGACTTCATGATGACATCATCCTTTGATTCTGTATTGATTTTGAATATTTGTATTTATATATGTATTTTTGTTCTATTTTCAATTTTAGTACTACATGTATTTCCACTCAAATCAACTTGACGCTTCCAAGATATGAAATTCTTAGGGAGGACCCTTAAATGTTTGTTGCATTTCGCCAGTCCGCTTTGACAACAACAGACACTCCATACCTTCTTTGCGCATGAATACGGAAAACATTTTAAAAGGCTAAAACGGCTCTTGTGTTTCGTTTTCATTTCCTTGTTCACAGACTCTCCATTTTCATTTTCTTTTCCTTAATTTTGTGCATTTATAATGTACTTCTCCTGCCAAAGACTACCTTAAGATTTCTTTGTTAATACCAGCTTTTTACTCACCTACCAGTTTGATTTGAAGGCAGCACCGCCTGACCTGCACAGCGTGACTAGCATTCTATTCTGGGATGGCCCGGATGGAACCATCGGGGATTTTGACTTTGGTGGACGGGAGAACTGGCAAGAAGGAATCTGTCAGTGCTGCTATCAACGACCCTTTAATCAAGTAAGTCTGGAAACTTTGATGTGGCATGTATTATACAAGTGGAAAAACAAACAATGCAGCACTTGCACCATCCAGAGCTTGCCTCAACGAGCTCACTTTTGGAATTCATTGTTGACATTTTACAAATATAGTGTTGATAATCGTCTGTTCTTCATTGTTATTATCAGTAGGCGCTATTACCCAAATACAAATTCATTCATTTAAAGCTACAAATACCACAGATTTTCTAATCATGAGTTGTAAAATTGGCCTTTCTGGTAACCTGTTTGTGGCACTTTGGAAATTGTTCCTATTATGTGCATCTTGGACTTGTAAGGCCAGCATCATCCTTACAAAGATGTCTTATCACATCACTAGAGGGATGCAGATATTTTATGGTCATTTCACAAAAAAATTTGTTGGGCATTTCGTTGAATCTTACTGTCTTGTGGTAATTTACCTTGTGCATGCACCAGAATACTGCAAGACTATTTATTGGCACTGTGACAATGGCGGTGGAAGGATTTTCAAAGTGGGGAGCCAGTTGTGAGACCTTCAGGCATCTGCCAATAAATAGCCATGCCCCATTATAGGACTCGTAAAAAGTGGAGGGGCAGCTTGCCCCCAGTCAAAAAGTGTGGAGGGGTCAAACCCTCCCACCCCCTTCTGCCACCAGTGTACTGCAAAGTGTCTGAATTTAGAACTAACATTGAGAAGAATGTTGGTGCATGCTGTGCAACTGGCTCTTATGCACAAGGAAATGAAAGGAGAGTAGCTCTGCTACAACTGTTTGAGACTGGTGCACAGGGATAACAGGAAGACGAGACATTCAAATCAAAACTGTTCATTAATGTCCCCCATCAATCAACAAGGTAGAGCTTTCTCGGAGGACTATTTGGTCCAGTCACAAGGAAAAAAGTCTTGTTAGGCTGACATTGGCAAGTAGTTCACGGTGCAAAAGCAAGTCCCTTTTAATAAGCCAAGTTGGCTCATCAAGCGGAAGTTAATATGTAGTTTCCTTGTCACTGAGAATATTTTTATTCCCCAAGATAGAATGGCAGTCCACTATTGCTCCCTGGCTACTGCCACTTCCCATATTTCTGTGTGGATGGAAAAGCAGGGGTGAATTGGCCTGCCAAGAACCAATGACTTGAGTCTAGCAACCGGATTTGAACCCATGACCCTCTGGTCATAAGTGACAAACATACATTATTCTCTCTCTTCCCTACCCCATTCATGCCATTATAATGAGTGGTATATAAGCTGGCATGGTTGGCTAAGTATTGCTGGACCTATTTAAAAGCTTTCAGACAGTACTAACAAAGGGTCACCAAGTCCAAAGCGACTTAGGGTATACGTGAATATAGTCGTTTGGACCTGAATTATGAGATTTAATGGTCTTATGTATCCCATTTTCCAGCCTTTACGTCATGAAAACACAATATTTCTCTTTCATCACAGTCCATGTGCCCTCAATGTGACTGTCAGGACTTCTTAGGAATACTTGATTCATCTGAAGACAACTCAATGTATGCAAGTACCACCAACATGCCACCTGTGACCACAGCTAGTGAGTTCACATCCAGTGGTATACATGAACAGCCTGAAGTGACCAGTAGTGCCTCACTGACCACTTTGACCTCCAGACCATGGGCCATCCGTAGACAAAATGAAGATGGGGACAGCGTGTCCAATGATGAGAATGCTGGATTGATTACACAGAGAGCATGCGGCTTCCAACTCTATCCAAGTAAGATGGACGTCTTGTGAAGGCGTGATGGAGGAAACAACTGTCTTTTCAAAAGTCATCAATTTAAGTTGGTCATGTTTAATCTGCATGGTGACTGTGGTAATGCTATTGCTGTTTATACTTTATACAGTATTTATACTTTATACAGTGTTTATACAATAGCCCCCACCAATAGTGGTAAGCATTGTGGTAAGCTTTCTCATGGCAACTGCTCTGTAGAAAAGCCAACGTTTGGTTTTCTAAGGAGCGACTGTCAACACTACACTTTCTGCCGTGAAAGGGGACCATCAGAAGTGAAATGCCCTTTGATTTAGTCCATAGTTGTTTTTCTTCGAAAACAGAATTTGCTTTGTTTCATGTTTATTGTACTTTTGAGTACCTGAATTTAGTGAGCTCTATTTAGGTACCAGCAAGTGTCCTGTTTCCTCAAGTTTCAGTATAAACTTGCAAAGGGAATTTCTCTATGTTATCAGGAGTTTGCATGAGCCATACAGTCCTCCTTTTTTATTGCTATTTTACCTCAGTCTATGAATTCCTTCCTAGATGGCAGTGCATCTCAAGCTGTAATGTGGTGTCGTTACTTCAAGGATGGTCAGCGAATGTCCTCTCAGCCTGTAGATCTAGACTTTGATCCGTCAGTAGAGGAGCGTCATTACGCAGTCAGCTTTAGAAGCACACCATTTGATGCACATGAGGTATACCAGGACAAGCATAATAAGCAAATCCAATATGTCTGTGGCACTTGACTCTGGCCACAGCAAATACTGCTCCATGGCTCTAATAACTCTAATGGGCCACTTTTGGTGACGTTTGCCTTTATCTAAAAAGTTGGCTGCCGTACCTTGCCTTCTTCAAAAGTCAAAATTTTCAGGTCACGAACAATACATGTACTATCTGTAAGTGGTTAATGTCAGAATATGGTTTGGGTTGTTTGCAGCTGTTAAGTGCATTTACTATTGACCTGCTATAATGCCTCATTGTACTGTGGTGTTCAACATTCTCTGCTTTGTAGTTCTGCCCCCATATTTTGCAGGTACATATACGGCTTTCAGTTTCTTGAAATGTTTTCTGTTATAGGATGAATGGTCCTTTGATGTCCTCATTGATGGTAAGCTGCTGGCCTCACTGACTGGCATACCAGTCATGTCCTCATCTACCAAGCTCATTCTCCATGTCTTCAATCGAGACAGCTACATTGCTGATCTGCAAGACCCATTCAATCCGCCAGTTGTCACAGCAACACTCAGGAACTTCAAGTTCGTAAAACCTCTGTGTTTTTTTCACATTTTGTTGCCATATCAAGGGTGCCTTTCTTTTCTAATTGAATACCAAATTGAAAGAAAGGTCCAACTCCACCTAAACCTTTTTTCAGATCAAAAGAAAAAAATAGACATTTTCTGAAGGGGTTGTAAGGGAAATCAATTAACTTTTCTTAACAAAAATACTGGAGTTGGGCCTTTCTTTTAATGAGGTATTCCGTTGCTTTGGCAATATTTCTTGCTTCATTTGCTATGCACAGCATAGTATACCTTACCATTTATTGAAATGCTCCTACCCTTTCTTCTGATTCAGGATGCCACCTGAGCAGAGCAAGCTGTGTCGTTATGGGGCACCATTCAGGGCTGGCACCAATCCCGTCTCCCGTTACTTTGCCGGTGTTGGCTCAGAAGCAGGAGCTACTGATATCGTACCTTTCAAGGAGGTAACGTGGATCTTTAACTAACCATGGTGATGTCAAACTCGACTACTTGAACTATATTTGGCTACCTCTTTTGAAAATTGTGTAAATGGACTTCAGCAGAGATGTCACTATATGTCTCAGTGTCCCTTATACTTTTGAAATCACTTCACACCGTTTTCATTTTCTCCGCTCAGGCTAAAATGCTAGAAAATTTCTGTGTCACCCACTCCCACATTTTAAGCATCAGCCATTGGTTAATGCAAAAAAGGAATGTCTCAAAACTCTAACTTACTTTTCCTTTGTTGGAATCCTATCTTGCCAAAGACATGATGCATTTTCAGTTGGTGTAAGCAGAGTTGCTCTTCTGGTCCGAACTGAAAAGGGCCATTCAGTTATCACATATGCATATACATATGAAAGTGTAACATCAGGTGCTCTTAGGTTGTACCCAGTGAGATCAATTCTATTGAATTCAAACTCACATTTCTTTCCACAATGAAATAGAGATGTACTAGCATAGACTACATGAATAAGTAACAGTAGATAAAATAGATATTAGAGTCAAAAAGGTGTAAAGGATGAAATATCAGTAAGTATGAAGGCATCTCCCAGAAGCCTAGGCTTGTAGCGAGACACCTTGGATGGACTGTTACACAAAACAGGAAGCACAGAGATGGCTTGACCAGGACAGTACCCAAGTACGGAAACATGTAGATAAACTAGAACAGTATTAAGTACATGTGTTGTCACAGAACAATTGGAACAGCTTACAATTGCTGAAAAACCAAATGAGAAGCAAGTGATGTTAGATATCGGGAGACTGATGAGATTGACATATCAGGCAATTTTATAGAGCAGTTTGTATTCTAAATTTGAAAAGGCATTAATTCCCAGTAGAATGCTCTAAGCATTCAGAGTTTTATAAATCCCCGACGTGTGACTTTGTACCTTTCTCGTACTTTTTTCTCTGTGTTTACAGATCGCGAGGCCCTGTGTCCCTTGCATCCATCCCTGTGATCGTTATCAGTGCGATCCCTCGTGTTCTGTAGATGCCGTTCCCATCACATTCACCCTCACCAACCTGACCCTGCCCAGACTGGAAATCTTGAATGTAACAGTTGATGATGACACTAATGCAACAGTGGCAACTTCACAAAAAGATGGAGGATCGCTCCCATTCTTTCTGACAGGTGAGAGAAATTAAATGATGGGTGGATAAAGTATACAGATTAGCAGAATTAATTATCAGTGTAATAAAAATGGCTTTTCTTGCATGAGTTGCCTTCATTTTGATCCAAGCAGTGAGTCATCCAAGGCAAAAGTGCTAGTTACAAATTACAAGTTAAAAAGTTAAAACTTCCCATTTGACTTTTTTTCATTTTCTGGGTTTTCTGTTTTTAGTGAAATTTGTCCTTGGAAATGGGAAATTGGTGTCAGCATCCTCCAACGGCTTCTACGTGGATGAAACCCCAGCAGAACTGGATGTGTTCTTTTATGTAGATCTCAATGTTAGCCGGTACAAGCCGACGTGGTACCAGTCGTCAGAGTCTACCATTAGTTGTCTGTGGAGCTTCATTGACATGGAGAGCTTGGTCAAGGTTTGTCAGTGGATTCCTATAGGCAAATAAGACACTGTGTTCATGCAGTTGTCTGTTTTGCATTGTGATTGGGATCGCATGTGGGCTCCATGCATTTAATGGGAAGATCAGAGAGGAATTTCTATCAGGCAACAAATAACCGAAGAGGACTTGTGTTTCTTGTTCCCACAATACAATACTCTCCTTAAGACTAGGCACAGGTGCTCCCCTCTGATGACAAAAGACTGTATTGTTTTCTTTTCTGTATGGTTGGTTGATGAAATTTTGGTGACTTCTTTGACATATCACTTTGAACATTCCATAAATTCTCATTACGATACAAATTTTCCTTGAAACAAAACCTTCATCGCAGCTGCTCTAAGATGTTTACCCAGGGCTTATTGGACTGATTCCATGACAGATTTTTTTCAGGGTTTTTTTAGTGACCCCTAAATACACCACTGGTCTATGGAGATAATGTTATGGGCCTTTTCACATATTCTTAGCACAGCAGAATACCCAACAGTACATGCACAGCTGAAGTTGCCAGATTTGTATGAACTACTTGACAATTGATATATATGTGCTGAAAAAACCATCACAGTGTAGGTTCATGGAAAATTTAGGGAGAAGTGGTACATTAATGATTTTTGTTTACTGGGTCAAGTTGGTCATACATCAGCTATCACTATGTGCATGGATCTCACAGCAACCAGACCTAAAATGATTTCTTTCAGGAGCATTACTGGGCCATAGGAACCTCCAGAGGGGCCAGAGACCTGCAAGACTTTGTCAACGTTGGGTTGAACCAGACAGCTACCAACAGTGATCTGAAGGGATTACTGCACCACAACACAACGTACTATGTGACCCTGAAGGCTGTCAATGGAGCAGGCTTGGAAACAATAGTAGAGTGTGATGGTAGGTAGACTGACATGCAGACAAACAAACAACATAACCTTAATTTGACAGATTACGGCATCATAGTGGTTAAATACTGTGTGACCCTAAAGGCAATCAGTCAAGCAATCTTGAAAATAATAGCAAGATGATAATGGGTTAATAGACAGAATAATGTGCAAAGAAACCAACCAATTGGTTTACATTGCTATGATGGGATAATAATACCAAAGGACTACAAATAGTAGGTATTTAATGGAATTTGATTGGAGAATTTGATGATAGCCAAGTTAATCATAAATTGATATTCTGTCATGCTGACAAACACCAAGGTAGTGATTTTGCTGCTCAGCAGTGCTACATAATGTGGCTTTGAAGGTAACAACAGGCTTCATGAATGACAGTAAAGTTAAATTGATATTGG